GCTTTCACAGACACAGGCCATCTTTTCAATATCCAAGAAGCTGGCAACACTGGTTGTCTCCAGAGAAAACTGAAGAGCTGAGGTATAGAGGTCAGGGCCCCTTTTTTTTTTAATTCAAAACCATGTGACTATACTAGCTATTTTAGAAGCCCCCTTTAGTTTAAGATGAGTTTATTTTAAAGCTTTGTAAGAGCACAAGTAGAATAAAATAAGGGCTCTGCAACGCCACTTGTTGCGGGGTGACCCTGGGCAAATCACTTCACCTATCTCAAAAGCCCCGTTTCCTCCCTTGCAAAATTGAGTAGTGACCACCAACAGCATTGCCTACGAGGGTTTCTGTGTACAGGATAATGTATGGAAAGCGTTTAGCACCGTATCTGACACAGTGGTAAGCCCAGTAACCATTATTATTTAGCATTAACATTATTACTTATGTCAAGCAGCAACCTCACATACACACCTGTTTCCATGGCATACCCACAACTATGGCGCAGGCCCTCACATTAGTACAGAGCTTGTACTTCATACACCACCTCTACTCAGGGCAGCCCTGGACCATCATCGTTAACTCATTTCGTAGCTAAGGAAACTGAGGCAGTAACTCCGAGGCTCAATTTTCCCATGTCTAACATCAACGCCAGATCCCTTCAACCCGTTCTTCGCTCCCAGGTCCCCGGCTCCCGGAGCCGTGTTCCACGCGGCACTGACCTGAGCGAGCGCCCCGGGGCCCGGGACCTCGCGCCGGGCTCACACCGACTAGGCGCGCTCGGGCCGCCAGAGCCTCGCAGCGGCCGGGTCCGCTCCACAGCCATGGCGCCTGTAGGGAGAAAAGAGACAAACGGCCGGAGGCGCGGTGGGTCAGCAGAGGCGTGGAGGCCTGAAAATCCCCTCTCTAGCCCGGCCCCGCCTAGTACCTAGAACAGACCTGGACCAGCGGCCGCCGCTCACGGTCCGCAACCTCACGGGGGAGCGGCATCCGGTGTGGCCTGCGTCATCTCCGCGCGTCCCTCCGCCCGCGGCGCCCAGCGGACGCGGCTGCACTTCCGGCCCCCGCCTCAAGGGGGAAGTGGGAGGGCAGAGGAGACCGTGAGGGAGGTGGGGCATGCGCAGTATGGCCCTCTCGACCGTTGTGGAACCTGGACTAAAGTTTACTTCCAGGTTGCATATATGAATATGTCCAAGCACTTATGTCCCTCATCTAGTCTGCTCTTGGTTCAACTCTGCCCAACTTTTTCTCTTACCCTCATTTTAGGGAGGAGAGGTAGGAGAAGTTAAGAGACGTGCCCAAAATCAAACAACTTTGGGCAGCAATTATGTCCCAAACACTCACTGTTCAAGGGTTAGCGAATAAAAAACACCCAAATCCCTGACCTTCTAGACTAGATAAGACAAGATGCAAACTTCAAGAAGTGCTAAGGAGAAAAATTAAGCAAGGTAAGGGGGTTGGTGAGGGGAAGAGCATTAGAATAGATGATTGCATTTGAATCCCAGCTCATACACTCTCTGGCTGTGCCCACGACCCAGTTACTTAAGCTGTCTGGCTTTGTTTTCCCTCTTCGGCGTAGCAGATAGAGTGCCCTCCTCATGTGATTGTTCTGAGGACTAAGGAGATGAAACAAATTGCTACGTGTCAAGAATTAAAACCATGTATTTCCTATGTGCCAACTACTCTTTTAGCCCATGTTTATGTTATAGAACTCAATTCCCACCACAACCCTAGGTGGTGGTTACTATTACCAGCTCCCTTTTTAGAGATGGAGAAACCCAAGTCAAAAGACTTCAACACAGGCCCCCTTCAGAGTATAAGGTACCTGTGTCTATAAGGGCTCATAAACTTCATGCACATGCACACACACATTTACATGCATTTTATACTAATGCTGCCAGAAAGGACTTTAAGCAATGCTGTTCTCTATTTGTGCTGTTCAATAGGGCAACCAGTAACTTCTTGTCTCTATCGACACTTGAAAATTACCTACTCTGACAGAGGAAATAAACTTTTAATTAATTGAAATTTAAATAGCCACATGTGGCTTATGGCTACCACACTGGACAGCTTGGTCCAATGATATAGGCATAACACATAATATGGATAGTAGGAGAGTCATATATCCAGTTAGTCCAGTTAGTATTAGAGCCAAGGCTCCAAATAGCCTGAGTCCATCTAGGGTACTGGGAACATGTTAAAAAATTGACCATGTTGGGTGGAGCCAAGTATGATGTCCTCAAAGTCGGGTCTCGAGAGAGCAAATTCGATTTAGTAGGCAACAGGAAGTCTCTGCAGGTTTCTAAGGCACAGTCACTGTTGACAACATTATAAGAACATTTAGGAAGATGTGGGTACACAGATCAGATAACATCTATGAAAGGGAAGGCAGTACTAAGCTAACCAAGAAAACCAAGCACTCCTATATATTTGCAGTAAATCTGGTGGGAGTTTGATGAGTGAAACTGGAAATTCCAGATGGAGCTGCACCAGAGAATATATTGTTTGAACCTCTTATGGGCAAAGAAATCAAATTCTCTAAGTTTAAGCCCAGATAAGACCCAAGAGTAAAATGTATGGCTCTAATAAAAATGAAAATTGCAAAATAGGATGTGTTTAATTAAATACCTATAAGACCTATTTAATTATTAGATTTAGTATATGTTTTTAAAAATCCCTTTCATTTGAATGGTTTTTGAAGTTAGGTTTTCTCACTTTGTAAAAAATTTCCAAGATTAAGCAATGATTGTTGAGAAAACATAGACAACTTTAAATGTAATGAGTTATTCCTAGTCAATAATTACAAAAGCTGTAAATAGCAGGTGGGAAGATCAATACGTGAAAAGAAAAGAGAGGAAATATAGCCTGGTCTGAGACCAGAATGCTCATTACAACAGCTTATGTAAGCAACATAAACATGAAAATATGCTGGATCTTGTTCTTTCCTGAAAATAAACTTGCTGATAGAAATGATGTTGGAGATAAAATCCTACATATATATGCTCTAGGAGAAAAGCTAATGCTAAACACCAAATGCTCAGTCTCTTAAATTCAAGTTAAAAGAGACTACATGCTGTTTTCCATTTTGAGATAGTTACCTGGGAGAGGTAGTTGAATTACATATCATTGATTTAGTAAATTTCTTCCATAGCCTACACTGGGAATTCAAAATCCTGCCCGATGAAATGTGCACCAAACCTCACCATTTGTTTCTTTGGGGAGAAAAACTACACCCTTTTGTATGACAGATATTCCTTAATGTTTAGTACATTTCTTGCACGTGCATCTATGAGGGGCAGGAACTACTTCAACTGTTTAGTTTCTTGAGATGCACTCCAAACACACTCTAGGACATTTCTCCTGATGTGATGAATCTATGGAGAGGTAATGTGGGTAAACTGTTCTTTCAACTCAGCTCCCATGAGTCCCTTACCAGGAACTGGCATAAAGACAAGGGTTCAGTTTCAAGAGGTACAGAAGCCTGGAAGCATTTGAAGAGGTTTGCTTTTTTTTTTTTACTCTTTGTTCTGGATTCACCGTAGCTGTAACATGACCAGCGCTTGCTCTCCTATACACCCATCAGGTATTCCAGGACAAAAGCTTAGGACGATTGGCCAGAAACCTTATCCTTAAAGTCTGAGGCACAACGTACTTTGCTTCAATTGCTGTTATACTGGCATGATCCTGAGATACATTTGGGCATAATTTGCCATCTGGACTCAGTAATTTCAAAGGCCCTGAAAATTGCTCACAGACAACATGCAGGTAAGTTTCTTATCATCTTTGAAGCATTTGCTATCTATTATAATAGACTTTTGACAAGGCTGGAGTTTCTTCTATGTACAAATAACCAGCACTGAGAAAATGGAAAGGAGTTCAGATTATAATTGCAGGAGTTTGGTCTGGTTGTTTTTTTTTCCTATTCAACAGACATGGAAAAGTAAAAGATGGGAGTCAGGATTCTCTAGTGGTTAAGAGTGAGCATTGGAATTTGACATACTTGAGCTCAAATCATGGCCATACCCCACCCTCTTATGCACTGAACGATACTGGGCAAATTATTAAACAGCTTGGATGCTCAATTTAATTTTGAAGGAAACCTACCTGAGAGGGATATTACCATGGCATGTAAAGTGCTTCGCACAGTGCCTGGCCCACAACAAGTGTTCAAAAAGCGGTAACTACTATTATGGGAGGCTTTGTTGATCAAAGCTCCAAAGAACAGAGACTCAGTTCCTTTAACATCCCATGGTTATTATATTACAAGACGGCATGTGCTCTTTTAGACGGAAAGTTTCCATCTCCTCTGATGAAGTGGTGGGAGTGACACAAGTGCGTCCCAGATCTCTGAAGGGGTGCTAGCAGACAGCAGACACGGATCTGCCCACATTGACAAACATGTCAGATGGCTTAAAGGACATTGTTAAAATAGACCATCAGAATTCAGTATTAGATTAAGCTAAAAAGTCATACTGGAAGAATGTAAATGTTTGATAGTCGCCATTGTACAGTGGCCCACAAAAGTAACCACATCATTGAAAAAATAGCTCTTGACCTTTGTAATCAGAGAAGAAACTGATCCAAGTGCTTCGATTCCAGGAAGAATATCATGTATTTTCCTTTAGGCTTTTAGCACAGTGATGCCACTTGTCACTTTATATGCATATTATCTGTGTTGGATTCCACTTGGCTTCCCCAGTGTTTAACATAGAGCCTTACATATAGTAGCCAGGCTTTCATCCAAACAGGCAAGAAAACAACCAACCAGCATTTTATTCAGTTTCCACTTTGTGCCAGACACTGCATTCAGCAGCACTGGAGAAGACAAGGGCGTGACGCCTGCTCTCCAGGAGGCCACAATCTAGTTGGAGAGACAGATTAACAAAAAGAAATGAGAAACACTTAAAATAATGTACCACCCACCAAGTACTAAAAAGTACGTATAGTGTTCAGTGGGGGCAAAAACAGAAGTGGAGATGAAGGTTGAATGAACATGTGTTTGTTTCTTATTTAGGTGACATTCTGCAGTCTTCGGACTCACCAGTGGTGTTTCATTCTCTTTAATGTTATCCTATTTCATGCCTTGCTTTTTGGGGCTGACTTTGTGGAAGAATACTTTCTGCATGCTTTGCCTTATGTAGACATGAAAGTTCTGGAAATTAAGGACAAGGCAAGAAAATTGAACATGGAGCCCCTAAGAAGTAATCTTTCCAAATATTATATCTTGAGCCAATCGGAGGTGTGTAAAGGGAAGAACATATTTTTGCTCTCTCTCATCTTCAGTAGCCCAGGAAATCGAACAAGACGGGACCTCATCAGGAAGACCTGGGGTAATGTGACCAGTGTTCAAGGGTACCCCATTCTCACCCTGTTTGCTTTGGGGATGCCTAATTTGGTAATTACCCAGCAAGAGATAGACAAAGAGTCACATAAGAATAATGACATAATTGAAGGAATCTTTTTGGACAGTGCTGAGAACCAAACCATGAAGACCATCACAATGACGCAGTGGGCTGTGACTTTCTGCCCTAATGCCCTGTTCATTCTCAAGGTTGATGACGAGATGTTTGTCAATCTACCAAACTTGGTAGATTATCTTCTCAACCTGAAAGAACGCCTTGAAGATATCTACGTAGGAAGAGTTATCCATCAGGATATGCCCAACAGAGACCCTAACAGCCAGGAATTTGTCCCTCTTAGCAAGTACCCAGAAAAGTACTACCCAGATTACTGCAGTAGTGAGGCTTTCATTATGTCCCAAGACGTGGCTCGGATGATGTATGTGGTTTTCAAAGAAGTACCCATTATGGTGCCTGCGGATGTGTTTGTAGGAATTTGTGCCAAGTCTATTGGCCTTATACCCATCCACAGTTCAAGGTTTTCTGGGAAAAGACACATCAGATACAACAGATGTTGCTATAAGTTTATCTTCACATCTTCAGAAATGACAGATGCCGAAATGCTCTTGGCATGGAAGGAAATTAATGATGGGAAAGAATGTACACTGTTTGAGACTTACTCCGGACTCATTTCCTGCAAACTTCTGACATACCTTGATAGCTTTAAACGTTTTCATATTGACACCCTAAAAAATAATGCCATGTATTATGGTGATTAGGATATTTTTCTTATAGGTGTGCTTTTTAAATTACCTCCTACCTTATTATAAAAAAGCATTTCTCCTTTGTGGTTAATTAGTTTTAATTGTATTGGGTTGCAAAATGTTTTTAGTGCCCTGATATACTACATCATACTGAAATCTTAAAGAATTTAAATTGGCATAGCACGATTCTTTTCAAAATAAAGCCTCTTGTCCAGAGAAGTCAGAACATTACATTTAATTACAACCCCAAGTCTTGTTTCTCTTTACAGCTAGTGAATTTTTTAAAAAATCACATTCTATGGAACTGTCATGACTCAGTGGTGACTAATGTTTGAGAATGCTCAGAAGGAAAGAAAATACTAAATAAGGAAGTTTAAAAAATGTTCGTCTTGTCTGAAAACAGGAAACATTTTAGTAATCTGGGTGGTAGACTACCTTCAACTTAAAAGTTTCAGCTACCTAGTATGTATTAACTTAAATCTCACTAGAGTTAACTTTTTGTGAAATGAATGATTTTCATCATCTACTAATTAGGCAGTATGCATCTATATGTCATGTTATACATACATTCTGTATTAGTTTCCTAGGGATGTCATAACAAGTACCACAAAGAGGGTGACGTGAAACAACAGAAACTTTTTTGCTTGAAGTTCTAGAGACTAGAAGTCAGAAATCAAGGTGTCCACAGGGATATGCTCTCTCTGAAACCTAGAGAACCCTTCCCTGTCTCGTCTAGCTGTTGGTGGTTGCCAGCAATCCTTGGCTTATAGATGCATGATTTTAATTTCTGCTTCCATCTTCACATGGCCTTCTCCTGTGTGTCTGTGACTTCATATAGTCTTTCCGCTGTGCTGGTCTCTGTGTCCAAATTTTCCTCTTGAGGACACCACCAGTCATTGGTTAGGCCCCACCCTAATGACCTCATCTTAACTTGATTACATCAACAATCAAGCAAATCAGTGACTTGTCCTGAAATAAGGTCACATTCACCGGTGCCAGGGATTAGGATTTAAATATATCTTTTGAGGGGGATGCAATTCGACCCACAATACGCATTTCCTGATTCCTCTTGTATAACTAGGCACTAAATCAATAGTTTCCATCCTGGGGTTCTTGGGATTTCAGGTGTCCCCAAAGGAATATATTTTGAAAAGCCCTGCCATGACAACTTATTAATCTCTTCTTTGGATATATTACTAAACTGTACTGGACCGTTTATGTGCAAAATCAGCCTTGTAGGGGTTATGGACTAACTGAGGTGTGGCAAGTGGTTAGCAGTAGATCTGGCCTATAGTCTTCAATAAGGGGAAGAGGTAGCATTTAAGAACTTACGGTATGTTCTGAGTTAAACAGCTTAGGCTCAAATCACAACTCCGCTTACTTGCTGTGTGACCATGTGCACGTCCTCTAACTCTGTTGTGTCTCAGCTGTGAACAGGGTAATAACAGTACCTAACTCCTAGAAGTGGGAGGATAGCAACATGAGTTAATACATGAAAGCTTTTAGAACAATGCCTGACACACAGTATCTTTAAAATATAACCAAGGAACAAAAGGGGAATCATCAGACTAATCCTCAGAAAGCCAGGTTAATATTCTGACTCTGGGCTATGCAACTTGTAGAAGGCTTAGTGTGTTTGTCTGCAAAACGATACTTAACTTATAAGGCTGTTATACGGATAAAATGAGAAAATGCACACCAAGTGCCTAACATAAAGTAAATGCTAAGAAATGATAGCTACTCTTTGTAGTCATTATAAACAAATTTGCTGTTTTCCCCTAGGCTTTGGTCATATTGAATTACCTGTAGTTCCCCAAATGTGGTCTCTTGTTTTCAAATCTGTACCTCTGCTTGCAGTATTTATTAAATGCAAAATAAAATAATAATTTGCAAATTTTATTTGATCTTTAAAAAAAATTACAGGCACAAAATTAGAGTATGTAGGCCATATATATAGGACAGGCCATCCTCTGAGCTCTGACATTAAATAAATAAAATCAACATCATGAACTGAGTTAAACAAAAGTCACCTTAAAAAGACAGAATGTTTCTTCCAGGCCAGGAAGAGCTGGCTGTAGCCTAATTAGTTATGGAAACAAGGAAAAAGGAGGCTCAGGGCTCCAGAGATGGCAGAAAGGAGATGCTTGATCTGGGGACAAGAGAGTTCCAGGCAACTGAGAGCCATTTTGTTACAAAGCAGGGATGGTTTATCAATGTCACCATGGCTTCAAAGAAACCTATCTCTAGATTCTTAACTGGCATACTCTGATAGCACTCTCACGCAGAAGCCTCTGGATTGGTGGTTGGTGTCTTTAGAGAGCAGGGCACTGGAAAATAGGCCAGAGCACTTCTTGATCATGAAAAGGAAGTGCATGCGTCCTTTGCTAACTGATGAGAGGGCATCCTGGTTTACACACAGCATCCCTCTGTTTGACTCTGGTTATTAGGAGTCCATTTCCCTCTCTCTGATCAACTCCATATTGCCTTGATGGATTTGAAAAATTAAAAGCAAAACCCTCAAAAATGATGACCCACCAATAAATAAACACAGTTTGGGGACCTTTCTGGGTTGGCATGTTATCCTCTCTCCTCCCCCAAAACCACAGCAGAGTAAAATTCATTGATCAATAGCAAAAAAGCATCAAAGAATACTAGAAACATTTTTAAAAGGTTTACTGTCTAGTTTTCAAAGGAAGTATAGTAACAAAAAAAATCAAAAGAGACCTTATCAAAAGTATTTATTCTTAGAGAACATAATATTAAGATCCCATATTATTTGGGATCTTAATAATTAGTATTTTCAAAGAATACTTATATCCAAGACTCTATAAATGGAATCAGAATGGGGGAAAGGACAAAAAGATCATGAAGAGAAACAACTGAGTTCCATTTTAGATGAAGCAGATTTAAAATAAGATAGTAAATCCACGGAAATTTTCTGGGAGAGCAAAACTTCCATCTTCTTGCAAAACAGTAAAGCAAAAAAACATCTCTTTCAATTACAACCAAGTTTGTCTGCTCTCTTGGTTTCACACTGTACTTCAGTGCAGGAACACAGCAAATGTCCATGATAATTCTGGAGGGGAGAGAAGTCTTCGTTTTAAAAAATACAGAGGGAGTCAAATGCGTTAGGAGAAGTTTTGGTCCAAAAATGGTCTAGACTCTAGAAGAAATCATTCAGCTCCTTCCACTGCCGTTGTGGAAACAGGTTTCACGTAGTATGGACCTTCACTCAGGTAAGTTCTGAGCCTCAAATAATTTGGGTTCCCAAAGATTTCTGCAACTGTCTTAGAATTGGCTAATGCTTTCACCAGTTCATATTTGGCATCCTTTGAAGCTTTGTCATGCTCCACGGACCGGTCCATCACATACTCTACAAAACCTGGACTGTTAAACATAAGTTTCTGAGCCCAGGGTTGGTTTGCAATGGCCTGAAATGGAAGGCAGAAAGAACACAATTCCTCTGAGGCTTAAGAAAAAAATTAACTTTGTTAGTGCAACGGCTCAATCCTTAGAAAGAAATCTGGCAACATGAACCTTAAAAATGTTAATTTTATGCCTAAGCAAATTCCCTCCAGGAAATCTAATTTAAGAAAATAATCTAAAGGTTAGGAAAAAACCTTTGTATACAAAGATGTTCATAACAGTGTGACAGTTACAACATAAATGTGTAATAGTGGGGCATGGGTAAATTATGGTATATAGCAATAAAAAGTTAAATAAAATTAAGAATATTAAAAAAGGCAAGTCTGTTATATAAAAAAATAGATTCAAATTATATACATGGCATAATTATAAAAGCAGAAAATAAAGACAAAAACTAGGGCAGAAAAGACTGTCCTAAAGAAACTCTTACATACATGCCTAAGATGGTATTTTGAGAATGTTCATTGTATAGCATCATTTGTAACAGATACTATCTAAATCTTTATTTACATTGTGGCTTTACAGTGAAATACTAATGGCTTTCTAATTGCCTCTTTGGTACAGATAAATCCTAAAAACATAGTATCTAAGATGATAGAAACATGATACCATTTATAAAGTTTATGTAAAATACTGTAATTTGTTTAAAGATATATATGTACATAGTAAAAGTACAAAATGATTTGTGCATTTGTAAATGCTGAATTCATGATAGTAATTACATTCAGGAAATAGGAAAGGGAACTGGATTAGGCAGAGGTAGCAAAGTATGACTGTATGTTTGAAATATTTCATCCATCCATCCATCAACCCATCAACATTAACACTATTACTAATAGGAAATACACCAAACAGGTATGATTTTATGTGAGTTTAAAAATATCTACTTCTCAATCTTTTCCAATTTTTAAAATAATGAAAAGCAACTTTTAGAATGGTTTTTTAAAAATGTCACTACTACATTTTAATGAAGAACAAGGAACAAGCAAGTTGATAGCTTAGTTCCTTCCTCTCCAAATGTGTTCTGCAGACCAGCAGCAGAAGTACCACGTGGGAGCTTGTTTGAAGTTCAAGATCTCAGGCTCCATCCCTGAACCACTGAATCAGAACCTACATTTTAACAAGATCTTAAAGTTTGGGAAACATCAGGCTAGTTAACAATAGTGGAGGATGAAGGGTGGGCTGAAATAAAAACAGCTGTAACAACAACTACATCAAAAAGTAGAACATAAGGTAGAAAAGTGAGGGGGACAATAATGTAATAATGAAAATAACCATGACAGAAGCCAAAATGCGCTCCGCAGCGACTTTTGGCATGGGTGAAATAGCCTAAAGACAATTTTCCTGAGGTTGCCAGGGATGTTGTATCCTTCAAGACCCAGATTATGTAAAAGGGGGGAACACCCCAAAAATCCCAGAATTTATTAAAAATTGTGTATTTACTCTTACATGTTTAAACTTCAGTCACCTTCAAAGTACTCTCCATTTGATGCAATACACCTATCGAGACATTTTTTCCACTGCTCAGAACAGTTTTGCGCTCCTTGATTTTGATACTTTTTAGCGCTTCTGCTCTGCCATTTGTTTCACCTCATCCACACTGGCAAAACGTCTCCCTTTGAGGACTTTTTTCATCCCGGGAAACAACAACAAAAAAAGTTGCTCTGGTAAGATGGGGTGAATAGGGAGGGTGGGGCCAGGGGTCATGCCATTTTTGGTTAAAAGCTGCTAAACACTGAGTGCAGTGTGAGCAGGTGCACTCATAAATCACCCATCATGAAATGGGCAAACGTGTTGAAAGACTCTTCAAAAAAAATTCACTGAGGCCGAACGTAGGCTCTCAGAATGCCAGACGGTGCACTGCCACAGACGGGGGCCTAGAACATGCACCCCATGGGGGAAGCCTGTACTGGAGGGGCCCACCCTCCAGAGATAATTCCAGTATTTTGGGGGTTCCCCCTCATATCACATCCTGCAGGAAGTCTTTCCTTCCTTGTCATCTCCACCTTCTTATTCCCTGCCTCTGTCAGAAAACATGCTGCTTGAGATTCCCTTTTTGAGATTACTACAGTGATGACTATATTTTCATGAGCCCAGGTACCGTGGTTAAGTGCTGGGGTTACAAGGTTAAATCAGATATGGCTCCAATTCTCAACAAACTCTATTTGGCAGGTCAGTAAATGAACATTTTCAACATACTGTAATAAACAGAACACAGAGGTATAATCCTTATCACAACCCTTAATAATTATCTAATTAACTGTACAATTATATTTACTGTCTGGGTCCCTCAAAAGACAGAGAGTTACATGAAAGGAAGACCTTTGTATATTTTGTTTACTCTTGTATCCCTAGCACCTAGCAATAACAAAACAAAACAAAAAAAAGAAACCCAACCAATATTTGCCGAATGAATGAGTAAATGCAAAGTATAAGCCCTGGCGGGTATGGCTCAGTGGACTGAGTGCTAGCCTGCAAACCTAAAAGTTGCTGGTTCAATTCCCGGTCAGGACATGTGCCTGGGTTGCAGGTTGGGTCCCCAGTTGTGGATGTGAGAGAAGCAACTGATCAATGTATTTCTATCTCTCACACATTGATGTTTCTCTCTCTCTTTCTCCCTCCCTTCCCCTCTCTCTAAAAATAAATAAAATGTTTTTTGTTTTTTTGTTTTTTAGCGAAGGGAAGGGAAAGAGAAAAAGAGGGAGAGGAACACCAATGTGTGGTTGCCTCTCATGCATCTCCCCACCAGGGACCTGGCCCACAACCCACACATGTGCCCTGACTGGGAATCAAACTGGCGACCCTTTGGTTCACAGGCCCACGCTCAATCCACTGAACCACATCAGCCAGGACAATAAATTAAATCTTAAAAAAAAAAGTATGAGAGCCAACATTTCTTAGGTCAGCCTGTGGTTTTGGGCAAAGCTTACTGAGGATAGTTGAGCTAGCCCTTGAAAATGAGTAAGATGGTAACAGGTAAAGTCAGGGAACAGTGTTGAAAACAGACAGCACACAAACACCCAGAGATATGAAGCAAACAGTCTGGAATTACTAGAGCAGTAAGTGCCAGAAGGGGAATGGCTCAAAGTAAGGCCCAGGAAGACCAGCCTAGGTCAGTAAGGGCTTGCTTGATGGCAGATAAGGAATCTAGAACTAATTCTGTGATCCCACAGCACCCTGTGCTCTGACACAGCATCTAATACCATTTACTTAAACAATCTACATACACATCTGTCTCCCTCATTAGTCTATAGTAATAGCAGGGGCCAGAAACCACCATGCACTAGTGTATTCCTGGGACAGGGCAGAGGGCCTGGCTCACTGCAAGTACTCAGGTGTGGAACGGCAGAGCCCCAGAAGGACCCGTGGGAAAGAAGATGCCTACCGTGAGCACTTTTAAGGCAGCACAGTGTAATTCAGGAAAGGGTTGATTACTCATGCCACGAAAGAGCTCCAACGGGTCCCGAGCTAAAGAAGAAAACCAGGATTCTGTCATCCTCAGGAGGTCATCAGTCTGCTGCTCAGGCTATGGGACAGAAAAGAAAAATCTCAAGGTGTCTGGAAGTCAGCAAACCTGGGTTCTGATGGTACCCTGTCATTAACTTGCTGTGTGATCTCTGCCAAGTCCGGAGCATTTTTCCCCAAACCCAGCCCAGATTTTCCCAGTTTTTAGATCTGGCTGATTAAGGAGTCTCTAGACTCTGCTCCAGTTCCAATACTCTATGCTTCCACTTTAACTTTAAAAATGTAACTAGTCATATAAAGAGGGTCACCCTCTTTTACTAAGGGTAAGAAAGACGGCATTTATTTCGTCAACATTTTAAGTTAACCAGTATTATGTTAACTCATACAGACTTACTCTCCCAGACATATCCCATTATCATTCCTTAATTTCCTAGGCTACTTACTGGTAAATAAAGAAGAGATGAAACTGCATCCAAACACCTAATTTTGAGCTCTGTAGAGGCATTCTTTGCTTGATATCCTATTCTCGTGAGTAAGCGTTCAAATCGAGTTCCTTTGAAGGACAACGAGATTGCTTACATTGTTGTAAAATACAAGTAACATAAAATTTACCATTTTAACCATTTTTAGGCACACAGCTCAGTGGCATCAAGCACATTCACGTCGTTGTGTGACCATCACCACCATCGGTCTCCAGGACTTGTTCGTCGTTTCAGACCGAAAGTCATACTCGTTCAACAGTAACTCCCCGTTCCTCTCACTTCCTGTACCTTCTGTCTCCAGTTATTTTAGGTACACCATGTAAGTGGAATTATACAGCATTTATCCTTTTGTGTCTGCTTATTTCACTTAGCATGTCTTTGTGGTTTCTCCATGTTATAGCAAGTATGAGAATTTCATTCACTTTTAAGGCTGAATAACATTCCATTGTATGTATATACCACATTTTATTTATTCTTTCATCCATCAATGAACACTTGGGCTATTTATACCCTTTTTGGCTATTGTTAATAATAGCTATTAATGAGCACAGGTGTACAAGTATCTATTGGAGTCAGTTTCCAAGTCTTTTGGGTATATACCTGGAGGTGGAATTGCTGGATCATACGGTAGTTCTATGTTTAATTTTCTGAGGAACCGCCACACTGTTTTCCACAGTGGCTGCAGCACTTTACCTTCCGACCAGATATGCACAAGGGTAAAATACAAGTAACATAATATTTCTCACATCCTTGTCAACACTTGTTATTTTATTTTTTAATAATAGCCAGCTTAATGGGTGCTAAGTGAACAATGAGATGTTTAAAGTATGCTTTGCTTTCATACACTGTGACCCCATCAGTCTAAACTAACATAAAAATAAACATACAGTCAGCGACCAAGAGAGAAGCCCACAAGACACATTTATATGCAATACAGCATATGTAGGTCAAAGTGTAATACAGCATAAGTATTTATATGTGTAATACAGTAATACAGCATATGTAGGTCAAAGTGTAGAGGACTTGCAATCAAAGGGCCTGGATTTGAATAGCAGCTGCCCCACAGACTGTATGATCTTAGAAAATTTTCTTAACTTCTCTGAGTTTCAGCTACCTTATCTATAAAATGAGAATGACAATATATGTTCTTTGAAGGATTTCAGGATTCTGTTCTTAGAAAGGTACATATAACAAGGATACTAGTTGTGTTACACAACAGCATATTAATTCTGAACATAGAGTGTACAAGTTTTAACAGTGCTACATATTATTTGTTTGTGTGGAATTCATAGTGCTTGTAAGATACTCATGGATGTTCCATAAAAGTATCATTTTTTTTAAAGATTTTATTTATTTATTTTTAGAGAGGGAAGGGAGGGAGATAGAGAGAGAGAGAGAGAGAAACATCAATGTGTGGTTGCTGGGGGTTATGGCCTGCAACCCAGAAATGTACCCTGGCTGGGAATCGAACCTGGGACACTTTGGTTCCCAGCCCGCGCTCAATCCACTGAACTACGCCAGCCAGGGCTCATAAAAGTATCGTTTGTAACAATAGTATCTTGCAACAAACTTTTCTTCTTCCTTCATATTACAAATATAAAAATTTGGCTTTTCATTAAATATTCACAACCTTGAGAAGTAATTGTTACACTCTTTTTTTAAAAAAGAGGAAAATGAGGCCTAGAGTAGTGAAGTAAATAAAACCCAAAAGCTAAGTCAGTGTTAGAACTGGGACATGAACCCAGGTCTTTCTGAGTCCAGCCCATCATCTGTGTACCAGGAATACTGTTCAAGGAAGATGCAGAGGGGAAAGGGTGTTTGGACCAGCGAAGTTTAAAAAAATTCACTGATAATTACAACTTTTTAGAGATGAGTCTAAGGTCATGATAAAAAGACTGCCATATGTAAAAGTAGTTCCTATAACGTAACTAATATACCAGCCAATGAACTCATAACAAGTCGTACCGACCTGTCTTCTGTAAAACCTGCTTTCCTTCGACGTTGGACCCCAGGATTCCAATCGTGTCCACTGCTACGCCAATCATGGTGGGGTCCTGACTTTCTGTCATTTCAAAGACTTTTTCCACAAAAACAGGATAACGCTCACAGATCTGTTGAGGACTATCCATGATAGCCAGGTTTCCAAAAAACTTCACAAATCCTAGAGATATGTACAAAAATATATTTTAATAGGGGAAGAAGACAGCATAAATTGTGGGTCCTGTGTTTTCATAGGGACAGTAAGAAACTACAGGCCAGGAGGAGAAGAAAGGCTATGGTACTGTATTGCCTGGAAATCAGACAGACCATAAGGAACTACTGAAGGACCCGAAATGTGTGGTGCTGAGGGAACAGGAACCCCATGGTGTCAATGGAGCCGGGTCCAAACACTGAAGCATCGTCACGTGCAAGAGGGAGAACAAAGAAAGACCAGTGGATATGTATCACAGGAAGGTAAGTTTGGAGTCATTATTAGGAAGAAATTTTAAAACAGATTTTCAACAATAAAGTAATCGAGGCTACCTCATAAAAGAAAATCTCCAATTTCTGGAAGTGTTCAAGAAAAACTAATCAACCATGTCTTTGAACAGAATAGCTGGAGTAGTTCTTATATTAGCTAAAGATTACAACTCAGAGATTTGATGAATCTGTGAATATACTGTCAATATCATTACTCATGTCTTTGTTTATGTTTCTTTTGGATGAGGTGCAAAGGAAACCATCCTGATGCTGTAAACAGCAGTACTTTCAGAAAACCAGAATCGACAACAGCACATGGCTCTCAGAGCAACAGGTTCCACCTCATGGGTTGGGTGGGGTTGGGTGTCATCTCAAGGGCATAAGCTCTAAAGGAGATAACCCCTGGCCTCCCCCGACAGGGATAACTCAGAAACAAAACATGCACCATCGCTTCCACAGGCATCAACATTTCTTACCTGGCAAGTAGAAGCTAGAGAAAGGGTCTGAATCTGCCCCAACAATTATATTAGAAATCTGATCAATTACTCCTTCTTGAGCAAGGTACTGCCGTCCATGATGAGTATATGCCAATGATGTCACCATTTCTACACAGGTGGCTCTGAAATGCCAAGATTTTGCATAGGAGTTAGCATGGTTTGTAAATTGTTTTCAGGTAGGTCATCTTACTTAACTCTTCCCACCAAATCAGAAAGGCCAATAATCCTGGCTCTACTTTTCAGATGAGAGTTCAGGATGAGAAAATTGTAGCAACTTATCTAGAATCACATTTTTATTAAAAGGTAGAGTTTAGACTAAAATCTTGATTTTCTGACGTAAGACCCACTTACTTGTTTCTACTATACCATAGCTACTTCCTAAGAGATTTTATTTTTTTAACTTGTATTTTATCTTGAAATGTCAAACATACACTAAAGAGAATAGAACAGTAAGCCCCCAGGTACCCATAATCCTGACTATACAGTTATCTCAATTTTGCTTTACTTATTTCACTTTTTTTTTTTGCTGAATCATGTTAAATTCTTGGCATTTATCTCTGCACAGTTTAGTATACATTTCTAAAAAACATGAATATTTTCTAATATAATTATGTCTTACCACATATTACAAAATTAACAATAATTCTCTGGTACCACATAATATCCAACCATGATCAAATTTTCCCAAGGTATTTTAAGTGACTATTTGCAGGGTTTTCCCCCTATGTCATAAAATCTGATACAGAGCTAAAAAAACTAACAAAATAATTTCCTTATTAGGAATGCTATGAATTAGTGTAACTGGTGACTGCCTTATGCATAGGAGTTCAACAATTCCAGTCACATTTAAAGAACATGGGACGCCCTGGCTGGCATAGCTCAGTGGATTGAGCGTGGGCTGTGAACCAGGCATTGCAGGTTCAATTCCCAGTCAGGGCACATGCCTAGGTTGCAGGCCACGGCCCCCCATCAACCGCACACTGATGTTTCTCTCTCTCTCTCTTTCTCTCTCTCTCTCTGTCTCTTTCCCTTCCCTCTCTAAAAATAAATAAATAAAATCTTAAAAAAAAAAACAAACCCATGGGACAACCAGAAAATCATTTAAGATAACGAAAACAAAATCTGTGCACACAAAGGTAACTATAAGTGCTATCACAACAGCAAAATACTTGGAAGCACACCAAGTATTCAACAGTGAGGGTGTATCAGTAAATTGTGTGGAATATCAACAAGGAAACATTTGACGAATATAAAGGGGACTTGGGGGTACAGGGCTGGGAGTGAAAAGACTAAAATTAGCATTTCTTTCAGGACCTATGTCAGCCATTGTATTGGTCTCTATGGTAAATGCACTTAATCCTCATATTATCTTCTTTATAAATTCATCATCATTCTATTTAGCTGAGGAAGCTTGAGGTGCAAAATGGTTATAATACTTCGTCCAAGATCAAACAACTAATAAGTAGAGATGCAGGCAATTGCAAATCTTACTCATTTTCATAAGTCCATGTTCTTCTATCATGCTACAGTGCTATTATTTAACAATGTCAAAAAGTGTGGACAAGAGTACATAAAGTAATGCAGAACGGCAGTTATCATGTGATTGCAACTTTTTAAGAGCAGGCATGTATGCCTAAGGACAGGGAACACAGTCATTCAAAAGTAGCTGTGCCATCATACCAGGCTTTGCTAAGTTCCAGTGTGCTGTCACAATACCACTTGAGCAATTTTCTAAAGGCCCCTCCTTCAGGACATACATCTGTTATGAGACTGCAGCCTGACCACAAGCCGCACTAGGGACGATGAGTCCCAAGACTATTTCCTGGCCCTCCAAAGGAGGATATTTCACTCTAAGAACTCTCTCAGCCAACATACCTGACCAGCACATCCTCACCAGTCAGTTCCCTGAGAAGCTGGGTCACCAATCCACTGGCGGTACAGTAGTGTAAAGATTCTGGTGACACAGAAGAAATCTCCACAATTAGCTGAAAGAAAAGAACAGAAATAGCAGAAAAGATAAAACTGCACCAAAGGTGTTAATCTCATTTTAAGTTAAATGCAGAATTAGGCACTTCATATAAATGAATTTTTAAAAATGGATTATTTGTCTCCATAAGTAGGAAAATTTCACTGAACATGTAAGAAACTACTTTGTCGCAGACACACTCCATTGTATCTGCACTTTTTACAAAAGCCTGAATCAGAAACAACAAACAGATTATAAAAATCATTCATGTATTCTATCTGTCAGTCATTACTCATTCATTTACCAAGTATGTCCTGAGGGCTTAGTGGAGACAGAGGACACTGAAGGATTTCAAGCAGAGACATGACAGAACCAGATCTGGATTTCTGAAGATCTTTCTGACTGCAAGGGAAGACAGACTAGTGGTGACAACAATGAATGAGACCAGCCTGGATGCAAATACAGTAGTCCCAGTGAGAGACACTGGCAGCTTGGACTAGCATGCTGGTGACTACGCCAAGGAAGAGAAGTGCATGTGTTTAAGAAAAACTGACATAACTTAATGACTAAAAGGGGATGTGGCCAGGAGAACAAGGCCTCATAGAGAATGAGCTCGAGGTCTAATACCAGACCACATGGACTATGAGACAACCAGTTAGTTGTTGCTGTTTTTTTTTTTTTTTAAGAATTTTTTTTTTAAGATTTTATTTATTTTTAGAGAGGGAAGGGAGGGAGATAGAGATAGAGAGAGAGAAACATCAATGTGCGGTTGCTGGGGGTTATGGCCTGCAACCCAGGAATGTACCCTAGCTGGGAATCGAACCTGGGACACTTTGGTTCCCAGCCCGCGCTCAATCCACTGAGCTACGCCAGCCAGGGCTCAGTTGTTGCTGTTTTTTATTAGGGGCATAAGGTGGGTGGAAAAGACCGGGGGGTTAGTTTCAACATGATGTGAGGGGCCTAGAATATGTCCAAGGGGGAGAGAGAGTAAGCAGTTGGACATGAACGTCTGAGCTCAGAAGAGAGGTCTGGTTAGACGTTAACATTTGAGAGTCATCACCGTTACAGGTGAGATCTTAAGTCCCGGGATGAATAAAACTGCCTAGGAATGAATGCAGATTACAGGGGGAAGAGGGCTTGGAACTTTGCCTTCACAAACCCAACAATTACTAGTTCAACAGAGGACAACTAGCTAGGAGGCTGAGAAGAAACATTGAGAGAGGCAGAGGAAAAACTGGGATAGCTTGATATCGAGGCAAGCAAAGTAATAAAGTGTTTTGAGGAAGAAATTAAAGACTGTACAGGACTTGTGTTTAATATACAGCCTACTAATTGTGTGGCCTTGGGTTAATTACTCCATCAATAGTGAGGTTTATGATAATGATGTATAAGGTTTAATGTGAGAATTAAAAACAATACATGTGAGGATTTAGCACAGTGCTCAGTACAAAGCTGGTGCAAACAAAACCATTTCTTCTTACTACTACAACTAAGCTTCTCAAAGTCTAGTTTCAATGGTATCTCCTCTATTATAGTAATTAATAAAGCAGTATACATATATACATTTTTTAATCCTCACCTGAGGATCTGCTTATTGACTTCTTTTTAAAGAGAGAGAAATGGGTGGGGTGGAGAGACAGAGAGAGAGAAACATCGATCAGTTGCCTCCCATATGCACCCTGACCAGGGATCAAACCCACAACCTATATATATGCCCTGACCAGGAGTAGAACCTACAATCTTTCAGTGTACAGGATGACAGTCCAACCAACTGAGCCGCCCAGTGAGGGCTGCAGTATACATATTTTTATAACACTGTCTCACGCACTAGGTGAGGAGTTCACCCCTATATCCCCAGTACTCAGTATGGGGCCTAGCACAGACTATATACTCAATAAATACATGTTAAATGAGCCACACTGCCTTCCAAAGTAATTCTTACTGCATTTGAATTATAGGCATCAGAAAGTATGCTTTCTGTCTTACCTCATAGACCCTGTATCGAACAATGTCATTTGTTTTCATTACAGTTTTCAAATCATCCAGCAGATTGCTTTCAAATAAAGCCTCCAGTCCAGCTTGGGTCAGTGATATTCTTGACAGGGATTTAATGGCCTTATAAAGAAAGAAAATCTCTCTTAAGTCATAAAAATACAAAATATTAATATCTACTTCATAAGATTGATGTGAAGATTAACATATGGAATGTACCTTATAAAATGAGCATTCCCTATGTTTTAGCTACTAGTATTTATAATTAGAAAAGATACACAGTATTCCTAATAGAAAATAATTACGTAAGTTTTGCTTCTTAGGAAGTAACCAATGTACGCCCTATGGCAGATAATTTAGATATGCGCATTCTAGAAAATAGAAGGGGTTTACCAGTACTTATTTGACACCATTTATTTATGTGATGCCCTATATATAAAGCTGTGAATTCAATTATACAAATCATCCCTTCCAAACCTTCACCTCTCAATCCAGAGAGCCTCCTTTGTCTTTTAGGACACCAGTATCGCTGCATGTTTATTTAAGCTGATGGTTCTAGCTGACTCACCGCTTTAGCTACAGATAGATTCTCTCCCCCAATACAATAAACGATTTGTTTTAGTAATTCAGGATTATTTAGAATCTCAGTAACAGCATCAGAATTTTCAACAATTCTTCCGACCTGAAAGAAAAAAACAATCAGAAATGCTCTTCTAGGGTAGGGCAACAGCTAAACACATGATACTCAAATTACCTTCCTGTGCAGTTATTTTAAGAGTTACTGAGTACAACTATAAGACAAGTCATTAAAAATTTCAAATGACCCCAATTCACTAAAGCCAAACACACATATTGCATAGTGACATCTTTGAAAGAAAATGGGAAAAAAAAAAAAAAAGGCTGGGTAAAGACTTCAGAACCTCAGTGAGTACAAACAATAAAAATCCTAGTTCTATCCATTTTTAGCTACACTGAAACCCTGGGCAAATTAAATAACTTCTCTGAGCCTAACTTATTGTCTGTAAAATGGGAATAACCATACTTAAATGCAAGACAGTAATGAAGATTAAATGAGACTAAATAGGTAAAGCACATACTACAATATCTGTAGTATGTCTAAACAATAAATACTTTCCCCAGTTTGTTGAAAGAACACTTTAGAGGAGAAAAGGAAAAAAAGTAGTTGAATACCTACTGGATAAACTAGCTGCTCAGCTCCTAACATTCTCAGCAGTAATTCTTCACTCAAATAGTAACATGTTTTGATTACCAGGGTGGTAAGAGTTACTGTCTTGGTTCTTGGTTAAGTGACCTTTCAATACAGCTTCATTCATGTCACTATAATAAGACTTAATATGGCAATCTTTTTCTCTAGACTAGGGACTCCTTTAAGGAAAGAAACAGGCTTTACCTATCTTGGTAGCTCTAACAGCACATGGTACATTGTCTGGCATATAAAAGTAACTTAGTATTTGATGAATGAATGATGCCAATGGTCCGTAGAACTTCTTTCTTTAGCTTGTATCCCCTTGGTCATAGCTACATACACTAGAATAGATTACAAACTCCCTAGGGACAGAGAGATCATGATTTCTTCATCTCTCTGCACAGAGCCTAGCGTACAGCCAATAAGGAAACCAACACTAGTCACCAAGTATTGGTTCCCTTACTATGTGCTAGAAAAACTTCATACCTGGGATAGAGTGAGTATTTTTACAGAATCATCAGGGTGTGTCAGTCCCTTCTGCAGGTCAACCCTGAGGTTCCGGGCCAAGTGAACTGGCTCTACAGCTTGGAGCAACCTCTCCAGAATGGATACACACAAAGTAGTCTGTTCCCTAAAGGAGACGTGAAAGACCACATTAGTTCATGTCCTGCCAAGTAGAAAGGAACCTGGTAATATCTGACACCTAGTTCAACGATGATCTTTACACAGATTGTTCAAAACGCCAGCTACTAAGGAGACTAAAGGGTAATGAAAACAAATACAATAAAGATTAAATTAAAAATACATAAATAAACCAAAATTTAACTTGGAAATATAAAAAAACCCCACCAGTTTCTAGTTTAACATTAAATATTTATTAAACATTTATTCAGTACCTATATGTTGGGGCTATAAAGAAGGGTAAGGTATAATACATTCTACAACCTCAAGGCACTCAGTCTAATGGAAGATGCAGGCAACTATAGTCCAGTTAGATAAATGCTAGGTTAGAGCTGGAAGCCGTGGGAGCTCAGTATAGAATGCAGGGTACAGGGTACACCTGAGCAAAGTTTTAGGAAAAAGTGGGAGTTAGTAAGAGAAGAAGGGTGTTCCAGGTAAAGCCATAGAACATGAAAAGGTACAGAAGACTGAGACAGTATAATATGCTCAAGGAACCACATGTGCTTGGTATGACTGGGGTCAGGATGGGAGAGAAGGGGGAAGAAGGTAAAAGGAAAGAGATGAATGGCAAGAAATTAAATAGAAAAAATGCACAGCAGTCAGATTCTGATAGATCTTTTATGTCCTGCTATGGAATTTTGCCTTTTTCCAGAAGGCCATGGCAAGTCAAGAAAGTGATTTTAAAGCAGAAGTAACAACTAAAGCAGATGTATCAACTAAATACACAAATGTGGTATAGCCACACAAAATGAAATACTATTGAGCCATAAAAGAAATAAATACTGATGCATGTTACAACATAAACCTTGAAAATATGCAAAGTGAAAGAAGTGAGACACAAAGATTTCCTTTTGATGATGATTTTATTTCCTTGAAATGCCCAGAAGAGACAAATCTAGAGACAGAAAGTAGACCACTGGCTGCCAGGAGCTGGGGGAGGGAATAAGAGAGGAAATGGGGAGAGAATGCTAATGCTAATGGGTTTCTTTTCCTTAAAAAAAAAAAAAAATTGCAATTGTACATACCACAACATTTACTATTTTAACCATTTTTAAATGCCCAGTTCTGCGGCATTAAGTATATTCACAATGCTGTGCAATCATCACCAGTATCCAGCTGCAGAATTTTCTCATCTTTCATTAAAACAAACTCTAGATATTAAACACAAACTTCCTATTTTCCTTTTCCCTCAACCCCTGGAAACCACCATTCTACTTTCTCTCTGTGAATTTCACCACCCCACATACCTCACGTAAATGGGATAGTGTCTGCCTTATTTCACTTGGTACAATATTTTCAAAGTTCATCCACATTGCAGCATGTGTTAGAATTCCCCTCCTAGCCCTAGCTAGCATAGCTCAGTGGATTGAGTGTGGGCTGAGAACCAAAGTGTCGCAGGTTCGATTCCCAGTCAGGGCACATGCCTAGGTTGCAGGCCACGGCCCCCAGCAACTGCACATTGATGTTTCTCTCTCTCTCTCTTTCTCCCTCCCTTCCCTCTCTAAAAATAAATAAATAAACTCTTAAAAAAAAAGTTAAATATACACCAACATATGATCCAGCCACTCCATTCCTAGGTATTTACTCAAAGAGCAAAGAAAGAACACGCCTATGTAAAGACTTGTACACAAATGTTCATAGCAGTATTATCTGTGATATACCCAAGCTGGAAACCATGCAAATGTTCATTAACAGAGAAACTGATAAACAAATTGTAGTAGATCTGTACTATGGACCACTACTTGGCAACAAAAAGGGATGAAGTATTCCTTCATACTCCATTGATAAATCTTAGAATAATTATGCTGAGTCAAAGAAACTAAAGAATATATACTATATGACTCCATTTATATAAAATGGTAAAGAAAAAAAAAAAAACAAGGGAAAACTCATCTATAGTGATAGAATGCAGATAAGTGGTTGCCTGGCTGAAGTGGAGAGGGACTTCTAAGGGGCACAAGGAAATGTGGGGGTGAGAGATACCTTCAGTATCTTGATTGTGGTGACAGTTTCTTGGGTATATAGATGTCAGAACTTGTCAAACTGTACATTTTATTATATGTCGTTTATATAAATTATAGCTCAATAAATCTGTTTTTTTAAAAAACCAATAGTAGGTTGATGGGGGGCTCCACCCACAGAACTCCCCTGGGTCGTCACGGATGAGAATAAAAATGCCCAATGCACGATCTGTATGGGGAGGAAAAGTGACCAGTCCCTCAAAGGAGAAAGGCCCTGAACACCTTCCTCCCTGCATTTTTATTGGGTTCAGCTCAGAGATACATAGTATGCACATAAAACTCATCACCCAGTGCCTAAAAAGCTGCAGTCATGAAAAACCGACTTCATTTACAGATAATAGTTGAAGAAAAAACAGGGATTGTCTCTGGTCAGAGTTGGCTTTAACTCAGGTGCTGTTTCATAGCAACAGGGCAGAACAAACCTCAAAGGAAACCATGTATATTCTTTCTCTGGCCAGATTCGCCCCCAGGAGCTATCTGTTCCAGTACAAGGTCGCAACTGCCTCTTGGGCATGGTTCCCAGGCAGAGTCAGGCAGGGAGAGCAAAGCAGCCGAGAGACTAGGAGACTTTTGCAGAAACACTGAGGACTCAGGCTATGACAAAGCCAAGGGATGAGTGTCTTTCTGCCCCTTTTCTAAAGACTCCTAAGTCCTTCCCTGATAGCTCTTTGCAACAGTGCCTGTCTTAGGTTGTCCCTCCTCCTTTGAGGGATCTTACCCAACACTGGCTAACCAGTCATCTGCCCAGGCCAAGCAGGGGGAAGTGAGTGAGGCAGGGGCTATGGTCCTGCCAGGAGGAAATGTTCTGTCTCCTTAGTGGCTCATGTCCCCAAGGCCTTTTCACTCAGCCCTAGCCATGGGACAAAAGGCTACAGTCCCTGAAACCATGCAGGACAGCTCGCAACAGTGCATTAAAATGTATAATGCACAAATTTCAGGTCACATGTGGCCCTTTGGTACCAAGAAGTCAAAGAGTTAATAACTTATAATAGTTTTGTTTGACTTCCATGTGGTAAAGCAGTAATCTTAGGAATTAATTTTTCACAAAACCTCCTATCAAGATTCTAGATTTACATTCATTTGATCAGATACTGACCAGTATATAGCAATCTGTGTGAGTTAATCAGGATAATAGCAATATCCCCATGGATTGTCAATCTACGCAGAGAATTACTTCCACAACTGCAGCTGGTATGCACTATGTATGTACCCAGTTTTGAATTACCCTGTCTTTCAATTTCCATTAAAATTGTTTCCTAGAGCACTGCTCATTCATTCAGCAAACCAACTCCCCCATGGACCTTATTCTCCAGACTGCCCTTCATTTCAGATCCTACTGCATCTCTGGTGTTAACTTACATTGTGACCTTTAAAGTCTCTTCATCCATATTACAAACAGGTTTGGAAGAAGTGGTCACTCCAAAACTACTGAGTCTAATCTTCTATTGGGCATATATTGTATTGTCTGCTAAGCCCTAGACGGGATACAGAGGTGGACAAAATACAGCCCCGCCTTTGAAGAATTTACAAACCTGAAATAAACACATACGCAGCTGTGACATAAGGCAATGGTGGCAAGTATCATTAACAGAAATAACAATAATGTCCTTCAGGAGATCTGAGGACCAGTCACTGACAACCAGAGTGACCAGGAAAGACTTTCTGGAGGGGATGGCACTTCACCTGGGCCGTCAGGGATGGAGAGAATTTAAGATACGGAGAGGGCATGTCAGGTAGAACTGGCAGGAACAAAGCTAGGAAAGCGCCAAGTCACGCTCAAGGGAAGAGAGTGGTAGCTGGAGGAGATGAAATAGGTGTTGAGGAGGAGAGGGAAAGTATGTGTTGAGGCTGAAAAGCATGCTGGTCCAAATGCCAGACTAAGAAGTCATGACTTTACACTGTAGGCAGCGGGGAAACCGCAGGAAAGATGTGAGCCAGCTGGGCCCAGAAGTTCACCGTGGTTGCAGCATGGGAAGGACACACTTAGAAAAGGAAGCCTTGAGGTGACAGGTCAGACGAATGCAGCATATGTAACACAGAGAAAACAGAGGCCTGAATTAAAGAGGGCAAGCAAGAGATATTTTACAAGCTGACCTGAATAATGTTAACTAATGGATTTAGTGAAAGGAAAATGTATGAAAATGGGAGGAATCTTAGGTCAGAGCCAAGAAACCCTCCTAAAGGATGCACTGTGGATCCAGTAAGTCATTCTCTTTTCAAGTAGGAAATTCCTGGATCACAAATATTTTTTAACTTCTAAATTATGAAATACAACATTTTTTTAGTCAAACACTACAAATGTGCGTGAAATGAAAAGTAAAGGTCCCTGTCCTATCATTCTAAGTCCCACTTCCATATTAATAGTTTCTGCTCTATCTTTCAGATATTCCCAATTTACAATAGCCTGGGTGTGTGTCTGTGTGGGGGGATTGGAATCCTTTTTTCCCCAAAATTATTCCTAACGCAATCATAAACTCCTATAATTCTTTCATTCGACACAGAGCTCTATAGACACATATAGAGATCTACCTCAACTTTTCTAATAGCGGCATAGCGTTACATGGTAATGTGTCAAAACTTATCTAGAATCCCCCTTTTTAAAGATGTTATTTATTTTTAGAGAGAGGGGAAGGGAAGGAGAAATAGAGAGGGAGAAACATCAATGTGTGGTTGCCTCTCCTGCACCTCCTACTGGGGACCTGGCCCCCAACCCAGGCACGTGCCCTGACTGGGAATCCAAGCAGCAACCCTTTGATTCCCTGGCGCATGCTCAATCCACTGAGCCACACCAGCCAGGGCTAGAATCCCATGTTAATAGATATTAAGGTTGTTTTTAGTTTTCTTATGTCACCTTCTGTTAGAATATTCTTTTTTTTTAAATATCTTATTTATTTATTTTTAGAGAGGGAAGGGAGGGAGATAGAGAAACATCAATGTGCGGTTGCTGGGGGTCATGGCCTGCAACCCAGGCATGTGCCCTGACTGGGAGTCAAACCTGCGACACTTTGGTTAGCAGCCTGTGCTCAATCCACTGAGCTACTCCAGCCAGGGCTAGAATATTCTTGTATATTCATTTTGTGAGCAAGTATACCTGCATGTTAAATTCCCATAACAGGAATTACTGGGTCAAATGGTACGTGAGTCTAAAATACTGGATCTAAAATATTGAAACTAAAATAGTGGATCTTGCCATATTGCTACGATAGGTCCCCTTCTTCAGAGAAGAAAAAAGTCAAGCACTTGTACACACGATCGTGGCCTCCTCCCTGTGGGTGCGCAACCTCGCTTTCCCCGCTCAACTCCTATTTCAAAATGAAGGCAATGAGGCCAAGAGAGGGTCAGGGGCACAGCTCACAAGCTGGACTTGAACCCCATCTTTTGCCTCTGAGCCTAGGGTCCTTCCCTCAGAAACGACAGCTTTTCTTTTTTTTTTTTTTTAACCTTCTTTTGAGACTGGAAAAGCCCTGCCTTCATCCCGTCCGCCCCCCGTCTCCGTACTCAGGGGCGTCTCTCCCCGCCCCCGCCACCCCGCTCAAGCTGTGGGCTCCTCTCACCGTTGGTTCTCATTGAGCAGAGAGAAAAGCGGGCCAAGGTGCAGTTCCGCCGCGTGCTCGCGGAGCTCGCTGAGCGGCACCGCCTGCAGCACCGACTGGAGCGCGCGCAGCTCCTCCAGCGGCGCTTCCAGCCGCGACACCTCCCTCAATAGTGTCAGCACCTGGGCCGCCATCATCCCCCGCAGGAGAAGGGGCTCGCCCCGCCGCCCGCCGCCCGCCCGGCTCCCGACGTGCCTCTCCAGGTCTCGCGAGATCTGACGCAAGCAGCCTCTTCTCCCGGATTTCGGGCTGTGACTGCAAACCCTCCAGGAGCAGGGCGGAGCTGGCGGACCGCGCGCGCTCTGGAACTGCCAGACTCGTGAGACGTGTGTCTGTTAGGGCCGAACCGACGATCCTTCGTGAGTGTGGAGTTGCTGTCCGGCGACACCTGAGGCGCCGCTCAATTGGTCACGCACTTGTACTTTTCCTGTTGGCCTGTATATTTCCCACGGGGCTTGAAGGCTCGTCAAATACCTGGCAAGCGGAATAGTGAGAGTGAGGACCCACGGAAGGTTACGCGGTTTTGCGAGCAGCCTCCTGGCTCTCAAGCCATGCTCTCCGCAGAGGCGAGGGCGGGAGTGGCAGAGGCCGCTGAGGACTGGGCGGCGGCTGAGGCCACCCCAGGTGGAACCGAGGTGATGGGCATCCTGAACCCCGCTCAGGCACGTATCAAGAGGCGGTGTAGGGCCAAGCCTCTGGAAGGCAAGATGAGAAAAATCTTGAGAAGCTGGAAGAAAGCGTGAGTAACAGCGACATGAGACCCTTTGGGGGCGTCAGTGAGTCAACCTTGCGGCGCACCGTTCAGAAAAACAAGAAGGCCGTCATGAAGTGTTTCTCCCCCTTCCTCTAGGTGCTGCCCATTCCGCGTGACTACACATCAAGAAGATGGAGACTGAGTTAACCTTTTTGGACCAGACCATGGGGGTGGGGATGAGTGACGGCCTCTGATGCTGAAGGCCATCTGCAACCATTCCACACGCATTACATACATCTGATGGAACCCGCTGGGAAAGGCAACCCAGATAAATTTCATGCGAACGAGGGATGACTTGAGAATTTAGAAATCACTACAGTTTGCGAAATTCAGGGTTGATGAGGGAGGAAGAACCGTTAAATACCCAGTTGGCAGCGAAGTAACTCCAAGCAACTCCAGAAACTGATGAGAGCTAAAAGCTATGTGCCTCAACCGGTCTTCCATGCCAAGGACGTGAGCTTGTTTGGGAAGTGCATTCCTTAGTAGACTTTTAGGGAAAAAGACAATCTGGAAATTTTAGAGGAAGCTAAGGACAGGATTTTCCTCTGCGTGTGTGCCAATGCCACAAGTGGCAAAAAGATAAAAACCACTGCTGCTTTAGAAAGATCCTAAACCCACGTGTCTCTTGGAAGGTTAAAAAAAAAAAAAAAGACCTTCCTGTTTCCTGGCGATCACACCCCAGAGTATCATTAACTGCTGCCCTCTTTTTGGCTTGCTTTCATAATTGTTTTATCTATTAAGCCCAGTGTTGTTTAATAAAAAAAAAACTTTAATTCAGAGTGTTGCTAATTTTGAACATCTGTCCCAGTCACCCAGACTCACTGTTCTTTGCTCATGCTCAGGTAATACTGTGTTTCTCCCTCTGGAAGGCACTAGCTATCTTCAGTCTTGGATCAGGGAATACTTGAAGCATTCAGGAGGTATTGCCCCAAGCATATGTCTGACCACTTTGCTGACTGTATTGAATAAAACCCCTTGCCTTACTTTTAAAGTAACATGACAACAACATTGCTGACACTTTGGTAGTGATAAAAGAGGCGATGGATGATATAAAACCAGCCGTTCTTACTAAAGCCTAGTGGAAACTTTGGGACGATGTGAATGAATGATTATGCATGTTTTCTATAGATGTTGAAAAAAGCTAGTGAAAAAAACAGATGGGCTTTAAATTCATCAACATTGATGAAGATGAAATTAATGAGCTACTAAAGTTCCAAGTTTTGGTGATAATGAGAGTCTGTAGATGAGGAAGAAGACAAGTCCCTAGAACCAGAAGTAAAGATGAACCTAAGGAAACTGAGTGCTGTCTTATACTCCGCTTGAGGCCTCACTGATGCTGCAATTAATATGGATCCTTTCTTGGATGGAAGTTTGGCCTTTAAAAGAGATTATCATAAATTGTGTACCTATAAAGAGAATCTTCAAAATAAAACCTCTTTTCTGAAGAAAGAGAAGGGAGTTACATAATAAAGAGGAAATGTGGGTGAAGGAGATGGATACAGAATAAGTCTGAAGAAGAGTGTGAGTCTGAATCCTATTAGGAGGAGGCGCAGGTAGAGAGAGGGTGAGAAGCCTCCAGGGGAAGAGCCTGGACTGTCAGGCAGTAGCACTAAGAATCTTACTATCACTGGAGAATCTGCCAAAACCAGAAATGCAGGATTGGACTTTTGGAATCCAACCTTGGAATCGAATTTGGAAAGAGTCGAGGTGCCTGACTTGAAGGAAGAAGTGAACCGAGAGGTGGTTTCTTCCAAATAACAATTCATCACTTGCCATCCTTTCCCTGTTGCCCCAGCATCACCTTCTTCATGACCATCCTTATAATAACCAGCCACGTGGCCATGATATAGATCATCTAGTTGTTGAGCAAACATTTATTAAGCCTAAACTTAATAGGCTTCATTTGGAGTCCTGTGCTAAACTGGAAAACATATCTCAGAATCTAAGGTAAATGGTCATTCTTATTAATGTAATAGGTATAGAAGATCAGAGTCTTGGTTTATTTTAGTGGAATTTGAATATAAAGGTTTTCTTAAAACCACTTGGCCTCATTTACTCACTCTGTTTTTCTTAGATGCTAAATTCTTCAATCACAAATGGAGGTTTTCTGAGTTAACCTTGGTAGTTGCCATGAGGGTACTTACTCTGAAAATGCTGACATGATCTTCCATTTTACAAAGCACTTTTACATTAACCAGTACTGTTAAGCCTCCCTTTAGACCTATGAAGTTCTATTAGCCCATCCTTTAGCAACCCCCTCCCCTAACAGTTCAGAGAGGTTAGGTAACTTGCTGAATCTGCACAGCTAATGATGTAAATGATAAGACTAGGGCCACAACTGATTTATTAACTCCTTTGTCAGACACTTTGCTAGGAAGTGCATCATGCCTCTGAGAAATTATAGTCCCAGGGAATGGACAGGTAATTTAAAATAAACACAGAAGCTGTGAACTGGCAGCATGCAGGCCAGATTTGGCCAACAGATGTGTTTTGTTTGACTTTTCTGTTTTAAAGCAATTTTGAATTAATTTCCAGTATCCCCCCAACCCCTTTTTTGTTTAAGGTACTACTTACATACAATTCACTGATTAAAATGTCACTACCACCACAATCAAAATTTAGAACAGATCCCTTAGTTTTGAAAAGTTTACTTGTGTCCTTGTGTACTCAATCCCTTCTCCTGCCCAGCAATGCCATCCTTTAAAAATTGGGGTATTTCACATTAAAAAAACTGGATTAAAAAATCAGAAACCCCAACAACAGTGGACTCTGCATTCCTGAAGGGCCACAGTCATTCCCTTGCTACTTTGCTTATTTGTTTGCAGCTCCCCATACTTGATATTAAATGTTGCAGCAGAAGTGTGTACCCAGTGCCTCAGGGGAACAGAGGAGCGTGGGAGTAACTGGGAAAGGCTGCTGGGGCAGCTGGCCTGGAAGGATGGAGTCCACAGGGAGAGAGCACTTGGGGGCAAGAGTGTTCTAAACCAAGGAGGATTAGAAGGGACATCCTGGGAGGAGGGGGTGAGGTGGGGAGGGCAAAGCAGCAGAGTGTGCATCACTCGTGTTTGTTGGCGGGATGGGCCTGTATCAAGTGGAAGAGTTTAGTGTCTGTGTTTCAGAGTTTGTATGCTTTGCTTTCTGAACGCTTTCTGTATCTAAGGAATATGCGTTTTTATCTGTACATCTCCGAGGATTTTATGATATTTTGTGTTTGTTGTGTTGTTGGAATGAGAAGGGAAAAATTAGTATTTTTATTTTTGTAAGGGTTATAGGTCTGCGCCTGGTGTTTGGGCTGTATGTTTCCGAGGACGGAGCGGCCAGAGAAAATTGCTTCCCCCTTCCCCGCCACCTCCACTTTCCCGTTCCAACCAGCCTGCCGGGGGCGGGGCAGTAGGGCAGGCAGCAGGTGGGGGGGGGCGGGGCGAGAAGGCGGTTCAGGCCCAGAGTTCCCGCCCCCCACCCCCTCCCTGGGGATTTAGCCGGAGGCCACATTCGCTGCAGCCGCGCAGCTAAATTACCGGCGACACCATGGATAGGCTGGGCTTACGGTGCCCTCTGCCAGGCTACCCTCGGTCCTCTGTCCTTATATGCCTCCTGGTGAGTGCCCCACGCTATGACTTTCCCAATCCCCTCAGCCCTAAACGTCCAATCTGGAAATTGATGGAAGGAGACACACTTTCCTTCAATGCCCTTGGGAATGTGAACTGGGGGCAAGCAGGTAGGGGATGGACAGTAAAATCCCCGGAGACACCACTCGGTGTCCTGGAGGTCGTGGTGTGGTTTTGAAGCCTACCAGCGCCCTTTCTTCACTGCTGAGGGAGCATTGACCCTTGCTGTGTGTCATAGCCAGGGTCAGGGAGGTTGAAGGGGTGTCTGGTGGTGAGTTCTCGTCTACGGGTCCCATGATAGAGTCTTTTCTTTTTGTTGCAGTTACCATATTGTTTTTCTGCGGCTTTGTTTTCTCATCTCAGAGATATCTTTAAATGTTATGGTTGGAAGTGATCGTTTGCAGAGGATCTCCAGTGGTGGAGGTAGCTGAGGGGAAGGTGGAGAGGGTCGGAAGCGCAGGGGTCTAGCCCAGCTCTGATGATCACTTTTGGGTGATTTCTTCCTCTTCCTGGCCCCTTTTCCTCATCTGTAACAACTCGCACGTGTCAGTGGCTCTTAACCCTTCTGGCCTTGTAGATTCTCTCTCTCTCTCTCTTTGTTTTTGGTTTGTTTGTATTTGTACCCAAGGAAACTGTATAGATAAACACAGTGTTTCATTCATTCAGAATATTCATGGATCCCTTAAAACTAGGTGGATTATAAATTTAGGTGGATTGTAAGTTTAGAATCACTAGGTGGTTTCTGATTCCCCTTCTGCCTTTACACGGACTGTAAAGTCAACCCTAACCTCTTAAAGGCTATGCAAATTCTCCATGGGGGAAAAAAAGAATAAAGTACAAAGTCACTGAGTGGATACATAAAATGTTTTAAAAGAATGTAAAAATAGAAAAGGCATATAGTAAAAGGCATAAATAGGAAAATGTTGAAAGACTTAAACAATTATAATAGATCTTTTCCCCCTTGTAATGTTTCTGTTAGGGAATATTGTGATGTATGTATTTTCCATCAGTTTTGCACTAATATAATGTCACTTTCTAACATAGTGTAAGTCCATCCTTGGTTCCAGGTTGACCCTTCATGCTTCTGATCCTTTGTTGATATGATTCACAAACATTTCTCAAGCCCATACTCCCTGTCGGGGTTGTAAAGTGCTGGGAACACAGAAACGAGTGAGACCGAAGAGCACATGTCCAATGGAGGGGACGTATACAAACAACTCTCTATTTCTCCGTGGTCAGTGGTACAGCAGGAGGATGTTCGCAGCAGTCCTAGCCTCTACTCAGTAGATCCCAATAGCATTTCTTCCCATCATGTCAGGACAACAAAAATTGTCTCCAGACATTGCCAGACATCCCCTTGGTGGGAGGAAGCAAATTGCCTTGAGAACCACTGGATTAAGTGAAGCTGAACCGACCCCACTGTATTAATTCCTAACTGTGCCCACTGCAGGTCAAAGAGCCCTGAGTGGGAGGCAGGAGTCTGGGATACAAGTGTTGGCTCGGTTGCGGTTTCTGGATGTTCTGCCTCAGTTACTTTACCTGTTAAATTAAGGCTTATCTTAGATAATACTCGAGAGCACAGCCCTCAGTTTCAGCAACACAGGTGGCATTGCTTTAGAATTGGGCTACATTTTCCACTATTTCACCCGCAGTATCTAGCACAGTTACACGTGAATGGAGGTGAAATTAACTCTTCAAATATCAAGACATGTAAGAGCTTAGTATCAGACTCTGAGTTCATGTGAGTTCCAACACATTTTAGGTGAGCTTGTATTTAATCTTAGCTATACGTTGCACTGATACCTGCTGGCTGGAATGCCACAGATCTTCCCTAGGAATGGCTTTGTTGTTGTTGTTGTTGTTGTTGTTGTTGTTGTTGTTGTCGGACAGGCCATTGCTGTTATTTGAAGTCTGTGCTGGAAGCCACCTTCAAGTCGTGGGGTTGATTCCTTACAGTGTTCCAGGATGTCTAGTTCTCTGCTAAAGGCACTGTTAACAGGCCTTCTCTCCTTCACAAGACCAGTTAGCCTTAACAACAACATCTCGCTGGGGTATTAATTCACTAGTCTACAAGTATTTAGTGAGAACCTGCCGTATGCCATGGACTGTGCTGGAGATACCGTGATGAGCAAGGCACGGCCCCTATCTTTATTGAATTTGTGACTGCAGATTATGTTTTCCTACCTCGCTTGAACTCATGGCAGCTCTGAGACAGGCAGCACAAGCGTCAGAACCTCCACTTTCGAGATAAGGTTTATAGAAGGAGAGGCAGTAACTTGGGGAAGGCCAGGGCAGTTAGCAATATTGGCACTAGGATCTAATTTAAATCCTACTGTGCACACATCCACACACACACTAAAAGCTTTATTGAAAAGTCTTTTTTTTTTCCATGCATGGTGACTGGTTCAGTTCAGAGGACTTAGTATGTTGAATTGGTGGTTTGGTGGAGGTAGCAGGAGGGAATGAGAAACCCAACCCAGACAGGCCTCCAGTCAAACTGAAGCTAAAGACAAAAACGCTGCTCAGGCCCTGCCAAGAAGCAGAAGAAGTAGGAGCCAGGACTTGGGCGACAGCATAACAGGAGTGGGAGGACAGAGGTTTATTTGAGCGAGGAATGAGCCCTGGGCGGGGAGACACGAGAAACACACCCTTGTTCGGCCTGGCTTCCAGCACAGTGGGACTCCTCACCGGTTGCCTAGTCCTTGTTAATGACTCCATCGTGCCCCCCAAGCGGAGAACCCTGGATGGAGGGTGTCTCCACTTCTTTTCATTTCTTCTTTTTGAAACATTTATCATCAAAACAATAAGAAAAATTGTATCTTGAATGCCTTTTCCTCTCACGTTGTCATTGCCATCGTGTTCTTTTTCTTGGATCATTGTGATGGTTTTCTAAGCAGGCTCTTTCTGATCATTTTTCATCCTCCCTCCTGGTACCCTGCTTAGTTTCACTGTGTTATTACTCTGCTCCTTAAAAACCCCCAAAAGTACCCTCTCACTTGAGGTCAGGCTCCAGACTCCTTAGCCTGACCCTTTTCTTTATAGTTGTAGCCAGTTTCATTTCTTCCCGATCTAACACCCAGACCAAGACCCCTGCAGACTGTGCATCTCATCTATCCCCAAATACCTCTTGGGCTGGGACATATTATCATTTGCTTAGTATGTCTCCCTTTCCTCTTGTGATCCTACTTACAGTTTCAGATCCAACTTAGAGGGTGCCTTTGCTAGCCTTCCTCATGGTCCCCCCAGCTCTCCATTTTACCAGCACAGGTGGTATTGCTTTAGAAGTAGGCTGCCTTTTCGTCTAGCTCGCCCACAGTGCCTGGCACATATGCAGATGAATGGAGGTGAAATTAACTCCTCAAACATCATTATTGTAAGAGTTTATAATTCATTATAATCTCCGCAGGATGAGAGCAGTTTGTTGTGGGCCAGTTAGTGTCACCTCCAGAAGAATGGAGTTCAAGCCCTGGCTGGTATAGCTCAGTGGATTGAGCACAGGCCTGCAAAGCAAAGGGGTCGCTGGTTCGATTCCCAGTCAGGGCATATGCCTGGGTTGCAGGCCAGGTCCCCAGTGGGGGGTACACAAGAGGCAACCACACATTGATGTTTCTCTCCCTCACTGTCTTTCCCTTACCCTCTCTCTAAAATAAATAAATTAATTAATAAAATAAGTAAGAATGGATTTCACGTCATCCAGACTTGAGTCCTAATCCTGTCTTCACCAAATCAAAGCTGTGTGATTTTGAGCAAGCTTCTTGATTTCTAAGCCTCTATTTTTTGGTCATCTGCAAAATGCAGAGGAAAATATCTAGGCATGAGAACTTCGTTGAAGCACTGAAGCTCAAGATCTCAGAAATTATATTTTGGATGGGGAATGGGCATGAAAAAATGATGCCCAGCCTTGGTGCCAGTCTGCTTGAGGAGACAGATAATGAGTCACCATGTCACTGCTGACTTGTGCTTTTTCCCACCGTTTAGATCCTGACAGCCTCTCTCCTGACATACCCCCTGATCAGGACCCTTAGCCTGCAGCTCCATTCAGCTGTCACTGGCAGTTTTGTCTCCGGCACTTATTCCATCGTCTTTGTCAACTGCCCCAACGAGCAAATTGCCAGAGATATTGCCAGGTATGGAAAAGGGGCTGAGGTGCTGCCCCAGGAGGCTCAGGGAGCTACCAGGATGCTCCAGAGGGGCCACTTTGGGGCCGTTCTCTCACTCCTGACCACCCCGTCCATCCAGGGATGAACTGCACAGCTGTCTGCTTGGGGTGGTGCAAGGAGCACAGCCGAGTGGTCCTGTGGAACCTGCTGCTGGCCTGGAAATGTTGAGCATGGGGGCCCATGAGGCACATGAGACCCAGAGGGATATGTGGTTTACCCAAGGTTTTAAGATAAGAGAAAGTGGAATCCTACCTGTTGAGAATTTTAAGTCTCCCGATTCCTGGTCCATCTCTCTTTCTTCTTGGAGATAACTCTCTTTGCTCAGTTCCAGAAGTGTTCCCAGTCCCAGAAGAAGTCCCAGGTGAAGCCCTGGCTGGTGTAGCTCAGTGGATTGAGCGCAGGCTGCGAACCCAAGCATCGCAGGTTCGATTCCCAGCCAGGGTACATTCCTGGGTTGCAGGCCATAACCCCCAGCAACCACACATTGACGTTTCTCTCTCTCTCTCTCTCTCTCTCTCTCTCTCTCTCTCTCTCTCTTCTCTCTGTAAAAATAAATAAATAAAATCTTTAAGAAGTCCCAGGTGAGAAGGAGGAAGTGGCCAGTCCAAATATTTAGAAAATTTCTAGACATGGCCATTGTGTAGTGGAATGAACATTGGACTTGTAAACAGACCAGCATTTGAATCTTGGCTCCACCACTTGCTGTGTTAACTGGAGCAAGTCCCTTCCCTTCTCTAAGTTTCCTGAATTATAATGTAGGATAATGTCACCTGCCTCACAGGATGGGGAGGATTAAATGATACGAAATATGTACAATCCTTACCCTAGTAACTTGAATGTAGTAGGTGCTCAATAAATGTTTGTGGTATCTGAATTTCCCCTCCTTCATTTCTCTTTATAGATACAGCTTTGAAGAGGGTTCCTGGGGCTGGAGGGTAATGGACTTGACTTCTTGCTCCATAGCTCAGCATTCTTGAAGTTGATGATAGACTAGGTTATAGTGTTTTCAAGTGTTGAATCTGGTCTTTGGGAGCACACACCCTCCAAATTCTTGGTCATAGCTTGCATTTGATTCCATCTTTTTTTCCTCCAACCAGAATGTAATTTTTTTCCATGTTAACATTACCTTTGGAGAACAGCTCTTATCTAAAAGAACCTGTAATTACTTCAGAGATACAACCATAGTGTTTGGCAGCTAAGAACTGAAATCCCTCCTGATGCTTCTTATATGCCCAGGGTCTGTATTGAACTGTCTTTTCTCTGGACCCTTGAATCAGTGGTCCTGCCAAGGAGGAACTTCAGCTGACATCTGTGAGGTTTGGTATTGGGAGGAAATTGATTCTAATGCTTGGATTGTAACTGGTTGAAAGTCCAGTTCAGGTAAATGGGATCAGTATCAGATTGGAGAGAGATTTCTATTATCTTCTTGCATCCAGAATTGTTAAGGAGAAGTCAGGTGCTTATCAGGGTCTTTCCTTTCTTTGTAGGTAATACTGCTTCTCTACGACAATTTTTAGCGTTTTCTCTTTATCTTAATGTTCAGTTACTAACTTGTTGAATATTCCCTCTCTATTCTTCATATGTCTTTTTTTTTTTTTTGGAACTCCTATTAGAAGGAGATTGAGTTTGTTCCCTATGACTGAACTTTGATATTTTCCTAATCCTTTATTCTGTGTACAGGGAGAATTCCTGAGCCCATTCTTCTGTCTTATTTGTTTTTCGTTTGTTGCTATGCAGCCCTTCCATTGAGTTTTTTGTTTAAACGATGTGGTCTCCCTTTTCAAGATTTCCAGTCATTCTTTCATAACCAACTACTCACGTTTCTTAAATGTCTGATCGTATTATAATCTGATCCTGTTTTATGGATGCAATAATCCTGCTTTATCTTTCTGTAGATATTATACTTATATTTTTCATTTTTCCAGCTTTATTGAGATATAGTCAACATATAATATTGTGTAAGCATAAGGTATACAAATGATGATTTGATATATGTGTATAGCAAAATAATTACCACAGTAAGGTTAGTTAACACCTGTATCACCTCACACAGCTACCTTTTTTGGGGGGTGAGGACTTTCAAGATCTACTCTCTTAACAACTTTCGGGTATACATAATTATACTTATTTTAAAATCTTGGTTTTGACTATACTGTTGACTGGTCCTCTTACATAAATTCTTTGGTTTGTTGATTTTTTTGTCTCTCACTGCTGACATTCCTCAGATGCGTACTTTGTTATTCTTAATTGTAACCTCTCTCTCTCGTCTTCTTAGCCGTGCTTGTGGGGAGGCGCAGGAACAGCTGCAAGGAATTGGGATTCGCAGCACTGTTTTCCGTGTGCGTGTGGTTTGGGGGGGACATTCCACAGACTGGGGCGCCCTAGTAACTGGCCTCCTCGGCATGAATTCTTCCTTTCACCCTTGGCTGTCTCCAGCTACTAGGACATTGTTTTGCCTTTTCCCCCAGAGTGCCTACCCTACTCCTCCTTCCTGGAGACAAACACCCCATTATCGCTGCCTGGGCCATGGGAGATTTGGGGCACCCACCTGTTCCTGCTGCGGCATTCCCGCAGTTCACCGTGATGGCTGCCTCCAAGTTCCTGCCCGCTGTGGTTCCCGTCGCCTCCTGAGACGGACGGGTGCTTTCGTCTGTGCAGGCAGTCCCCTGCGTGCTCCCTTCTGTGTCCTGGGCTGCCTTTTATTTTCTGAGGCCTCCTCACAGTTGCTGGTACAGAAAGCGTTCTCCTTACTGTGTTCTGACAGGGCTAAGGAGTGTGTTTGGCCCACGACACTGGACTGAAAGTCGGAAGTGGAGTCTTTAGTGATGTGACTCTGGGACAACAGATTGTCTTTCCTGGAGGTTTAACTCACTCGCAATGTTTGCCTGCCACCTTTGGAACTGGTAGAATGTAATTCCTCAGCAAGCGGCTGAGTGAGCAGGACTCGCAGCAGTTGCTTAAGCAAACTTGTGCCACATGCCTCTCTTGCGGTCAGGGATTTATTTATCTCCTCTAACTCTGCGAGGGAACGAGGGTGGTGTTGATACCCCATTAATGCGGAGCCTTAAATAGAGAGCACTGTTGAGCCTGGAACTCCAGGGAAGAGAAAGTAGGTCAGTTCTCTTGGCAGCAGCCGGAGGAAGGAGGGATCAGCGAGCAAGGCTCAAGTGAGGTTTATGTGGCAAGGTGCAAGCACTTCAGAGAAGAGAGGCCAGCTCCCTCCGCTGCCTGAGACTGGAGAAAGGTTTGTCAGGGCCCGATCCTGGGGGCTGGAGGTTTTGGCATGTGGGAACAGCTCTTGGCATCAGCAGCTCGGTGACTTGGTGGTTCTTCTCTTTCTGTGACACCGGTACTAGTTCAAGCCTCTTGGATTGTATTCCCCAGAGTGCTTCACAGGAATCTGAGATGATCAGACCCGGGATGCCAAGCTGCGGTCTGTCGAAAACAAAAATACCTTAGAGGTCTGCAAAGACGAAGATTGTGCTCTTAGGGCTATGAAAGAAACCTTTACCAGGAAAGGTGAAAAGAGCCTATATTTGCCAAAGACAAACACAAGTTATGATTCTCTTCTCGCGTTCACTTGGAGTTGTGTGGTCACGTGGGTGTCTACAGATCAGAAGCACTGAGTGTCAGCCCGATACATACCTGTATGAAAAAAGCAGAAATGGGGTAACAAAAGGAGCTCTTGGTGGTGAAAAGTCTTAGGAGCTGCTGGTGGAGCCATCTTCTCATTATACAGCAGGAGGGTCGGGGTGCGTGAGGGGGCGTGCCTATCCTGGGTAGGTGGTTGAACGCGCTGCAGAAGGTCACGCAGCCACGCTCCTGCAGGGCCAGGAATGGAACCCGGGTCTTCTTGTTCTCTGTCCAGAGTTCATCCTCGTTCCCTAGGCAGACTGGGCCTGTCCTTCACACCGCCACGAGGAGGGGCGCTCTAAAGCATCATCTAGTTCCCCGGAACTCCTGCCCCCTGTCCCTTCTCTTTAGGTCCTGGACACTAGCCCCACTGACTGCCCCTTTCTTTGCTTTAGGGCTGTACTGGGCAAGAAGCTGGCTGCCTCGGTGAACATTCTGCCCGAGGCATCCTCGCTGTGAGTTTTGCCTCTGCCTCGGCCTCGGGAGTGGTGTGGGCGGGCGTGCTGCTGCGTCAGGTCCTGGCTGGTGGAAAGGGCGCTGCACGGATGGGGAATTGGAAAAGGACAATTCAGAGGCATTTAATTAATCAACTGTTGATCCGTATTCAGAGGAAATTAACCAGTGGGTTTGTGTCATCCATGAACAAAAGCAAAAATGTGCTGCGTATAGAGAAAGGAGGAAAAAACCCTATAGTTTAGGAACCGTGGATCTTGTTTGCACGGTCTTTATTTAAATCCATCAGTTTGCTTTTAGCACAGAAGCCAGACTGGGCAGTCCATCCCTGAGTAAGCCAACTAGGGACATCAAAGAAAACCATTTCCATTGTCTAGATTCATTGGAAGACTGAGCAGTTGGCACATGTGACAGGCTGCACTGTGTCGACAGCTTCACCGTAGCTGAGCCTGGCCTGCGCCGTTCCTCCCAGCCCACCAGAACATTGTTATTTTAGCAGCCCACTCCAAGTGCTGCAGGATTTGTCTTGTGACTTAATTGCTCTGATCAGCCTGTTTCTCATCTTCCCTCCTAGAAAGAGAGAGTGAGAGAATGGGGGTGGGGTAGGTGGGGAGGGAAATAATATATATCTACTCTGAAGGTCAAAACAGAAAAATGTTCTGTAAGGAAAGCTCCCCCCACCTGCCGGCAGCGTCACTGCCTCCACGGCTCGCACCGTCTGTGGCTGTGGCTGTGGCTGTGGCTGTGTCTCCCAAATGTGGCTGTGTCCTGGGTTCCTGAGCTCCATTCTGGGTCTGCCCAGTCAGTCTCCCTGAGCGTGGGGCTTGGGTCTCTGAATTTTTTAAAAGTTGTGTAGGTGATTCACACCAAGGCAGTCTGGGAACCAATGCTTGGGCCCTAGAATAGAATTTCAGCCTGGCACGTCCTTCCGGTGGCCTATAATCGATCCTTTTACCGCAGCTCTGTGAGACAAGACCCGTGGCCCAGGTCATCTTAGACTTGCCCTGGGGCAGTGCAGTCAGCACCGGAAGAATGTGCTGGCAAGGTTCACTGTCCCTGAACTGTGTGAACACTGTATTCTCCAGCCAGGTGTCTTTCCCTTCCCTTCACGGGATGCTGCTCTCATACTCTCTTCTGAACACCATCCCTGACTTTTCACCTTTGGACCTGTTTCCGTGTCTTATAAGGCTCACTGCTTCCCTGAAGCCTCCCGTGCTTTTTATATATCCTTTCCTGGGCACTCAGTGCGGAGAGTCAGTGATAATAAAAGCAGCACCCCTCCAAAGGAGGGGGAGGGGCCTGGAAGCGGAGGGTATAAAGCAAGTGTTGAAAGAGCCAGAGATGCCCAGTTTGGAGGTGAGAAAACACAGGAGTTTCTGCAGGGCTTCCTGAGGTGGTTCCTCCTGTGGAAGCTGGGGAGGGCAACTGGGAGGCAGATGTTGGCCGCACCAGAAGAAAAACCACCCCATAGGTGTAGACCTATAAGGGAGACGGACTTCTTCAAGAAATGGGGAGCCTCTCACCTCCAGGAATGTTCAGGCGGATGCTAGGAACATGCATGAGAATGGTTGCCCTGGATGGTCTTTGTGCCCTGGCCAACTCTAGACTTTTTTACATGGGCTTGGAAAGATTCTCAAGTTTCCGTCTCAGTGAGTCACCTAACTGGGCCAGGCGTGACATTTCCCTGGGCCTGTTTGATGAGCATCGTAACTGGGTTCTGTTCTCTTCTCCAGCTACTTCTGGAATGGAGAAATAGAAGAAGCCACGGAGATTCTGTTGGTGAGTGAGGCAGGGTGGGGGGAAGGGCAGGGCCTTGATATAGGACGCCCAAGTGAGACCAAGGCCTTTTTCCCAGATTCCAATGAAAAATTAGCAAAGATCAACCGATTGAGATCAACGTACTAGCCCCAAGTAAGATGTCTTGGGTTCACTTGGGAGCTAGCTGGGGACAGGGCCGGTGACCTGGAGGGAAGGCCGTCTCCTAAAAGGCCAGACGAATGAGCAGCAGCAGAGCTGGGCTGACGTCCTAAAGCAGTGATGTGTGTTTTTCTCTTTTCCAGTTAATGAAGACAAAGACTTCCAAGGTCCACACTTTGTCCAGTTATGTCAGGTAAGGCTGGCGTCTCTTCTCAGCTGGGAGCGTTCCATAGAGACTAGGTGAATGGGCTTGAAAAGCAGGAAACCTCGTCACCAACCTTCCGTGTGACCCTGGACATGTCCTGACCCTCAGAGTCTCCATGTGTAAAACGAGAGGCTAGATGAGTGAGCTCACGCCAGTGGTTCTCAAAATTTTGGTCTCTGGGGCCCCACGCACTTTTAAAAATTATTGAGGACCTAAAAGAGCTTTGTGTACGTGGGTTATATCAAAGTTGACTGTATCGGAAATTAAAACCGAGAATTAAAAAATTTAAAAATAACAATAATAAACCATTATTATTACCATTACATATTAATGTTGTAAATAATGCATTTTATGGAAAGTAACCATATCTCCCTCCCCCCAAAATGAGGAGAATGGCATCATTTTACATTTTTGCAAAATCTGGCTTAATAAGAAGCATCTTTAAATATTGGGACACTCTTAAAGCTCATGGTGATATATTCAAGTTTTACAAATATCTAATTTTTGCTTGAAAACATAATTTTTTTCCTTGGCAGCAAATTATTTAAATTGTTTTCACTCGAATGATGGACTCACTGTATTCCTCATTCTCAAATCTGAGTAACCATAATTTGGAAAAGTGACGAATTATTGGAACTCAGACTTAAAAATGGTGTTCCATGAAAAAATCTAGCTTTAGCTTGTGACTCAAACAATCAGACAAGTTTAAGACACCATTGAATTTAGGCATACAGCCAAGTGCCTTATGTACACTTCCCACTTTGTCACACAGTATTGAAAAGACATACTCAGGGGTTGAAATTTAATAAAAACAGTAACTCTTACCACTCTGTCAAGGATGTCCTTAAGTGAATTTGGCCTGGTGCGCATGCAGGTGTGTGGTGGACAGCAGTGACAGCTAGTGCAGGGTGGCGCCGTGTGCGAAGGTGCCAGCGGTTTCACCCGTCATCGCTTTTGCACCAGCAGTGCGAATGTTGACATAGGAAGAGGTAGATAACACATTAGCAGCATTATGAAATAGTTTTGGCCTCATGGACCTCCTGAAAGAATCTTGGAGTTGCCCGGGAGTCAACCTGGAGAACCACTGGTTTACAGCCTTCCCATTCAAAGTGTGATTCTGGAATAATGGGCACCGCCTGGACGCTTGCTAGAACGGCAGAGTGTCGGGGTCTCCTTCCGAACCGAGCTCCAGCTTAACATGATCCTCAGGTGATTCCCATGCACGTTAAAAGCTTGAGAAGTACCGGTCTACACCGGTGATTCTTGGTGCTGGCTAATGCTATAATTGCTTGGAGACATTTTTCATTGGGTTTCAATGACCCATTTAGGCCCTATTTCAGATTTTGACTTCATTTATCTGGATGGGGGATCAAATAGGTTCTTCAGAAGCACCCAGGTTGACACTAATGTGCAGCTAGGGATGCAGGTCACTCACCTAGATGATAAAACCCCTTTCCTTCCTTCCAATCAGGATTCTGGGAACACCTGGCTATGCCCTGGTCTCAGGTCCAGCAGGAGGGAAGGCCCCGTGTTACCGCCGTAGCAGAGGTGTGGGGATAAGGCACCTTCGGTGGAACTAGCACAACCAAGCATTTACAGCTTATCCAGTGAGGGGCAGCTGCAGAGTTAAGATGGTAAACCCCAGAGCTTGACCTCCAGGGTCAAATCCTGGCTTTTCTACTTGCTAGTTGTAGCTCAAGTGCATGCAAATGGGTTAGACTTTCTGTGCCTCAGTTGGCCATCTGTAACAGGCGGGTCATACTAGTGCCTCGGGGTGAATTTATGTGAAGTGTACATGTAAAGTGCCATGTCAGAGGCAGCTGTTACTGCTAACGTGTTACAGATGTCTTCCTCTCTGTGTCTGAATACTGTATGTCTGCTTATAAACACACGTACACTGGTCCAGGCGTCCATGAAATAAGTTAAGAAAATTCGTGATCCTGGGGCACTGGGTAAAATTACCCGGCTCACTCTCAGTGTTGAGGCACCTACACACAGGTGGTGATGCATGCTGTCTCGTGAGAACTTCCCAGTGCCTCGTTCGCAAAGGAAGCAGAGGGCTACTGCTCCCTTTTGACAGGTGGGAAACTGAAGCCCCAGGCCCTGGGTTTCTTGAGTCTGGAAAATGAAGAAAACTCGGCATTGTGTGCCCAGGGCCAGGTGGAAGATACTGGGAGAAGGGAGAGGGAGTCCCGTGGGTTCGGATGGTCGAGGAAGATCCCTTGAAAAAGCCAGTGGCTGAGTTTGGCCTTGCAGGGGAGAGAGGTTTTTGACTGATGAACAGGAGCAGGGAGAGCTTGCTGGGTGGAGGAGAGACTATGGCAGCATGGTGGGGGGTGGGGCACAGTGGTGAGTGTGGGGCAGCAGCGAAGACAGTAGCTAACGTTCGGTGAATGCATACGGTACCAGTCAGTGCGCCGGGTCGGTACTTCATATACTCCGTCTTATTTAATCTTCAGCAGTCCAGGCAGGTAGGTGCTATCTTCAGTCCTCCTTTTATAAGATCTTTAGAGAAATTAAGTGATTTGTCCACGGTCACACAGCTAGGAAGGGGCAGACTTAGCATTTGAACCCGTGACTGTGAGACTCGAAAGCCATCTGGCCCTTCTCTCCTGCTAGATCTGAGACCAGGGTATAGCCACCCTGGTCTCCCACTCGGACAGATGGAAAACATGGGCTCAGGGGTGGTGGGTCACGGAGCTGGACAGGTGGGCCGCAGCAGATTGCAGATCTGCTCCAGGTGGGCCTCGAGTGAGGCTGGCCTGTGGGGTTTTATCGGCATGGGCTGATTCTAATCATAGTCACCCACGAGACTCTCTGCTTTCTTTCCAAAGGCTGGTGCATCCTTTTGAAATCCCAGAGATCTTCAGTCTTCCCATGGACCAGGGAGACGTGCACTATCTGAGGTGGCTGAAGGAGGGCATGGAGGAGGACTGAGCGCGCGAGGCTCTCTGTGAACCCTGCTGGCTGCCTGTGGCCTTCGTCCCCTGCACTCTGGGGAAGGGAGGCCTCTTTCGGCCTCCTAGCATCTCTGGATTCTGTGTTTTTTTTGTCAGCACAGAGGAGCTAAATAACTTGTGGACATTGAAGGTCCGAGGCTTCTGAGGCTAGAAGAGGAGGCTGGGCCAGTCAGGCTAGGCAAAAACCCGCCGGAACTTGTGTCTGAGTGCATCACCCTTGAATGTGCCCCCAAGGGTGGGAGAGCAAGGGTGGTTTTGTGCAGGGGTGGCAGTGGGAGTGAGGTTTTTCATCTTCAGCAGTCGCTGGGCTTACCTCGCGTGTCTAGGGTGGGATTACTCTCCTGGTTCTCAGGAGGAGGAATAGAACTGATGACCTGTTTGCCTAGGAGGGTGTGGGATGAATGTCTCCTCCTAGAGGAACGGGCAAGTGCTTTCTGTATTCAAAGCATGGACTGTGAATGGTCCAATATCAGGGACAAGCAGGATTCTTCCTCCTAGCTGCGGAGGGTGCTTGTGATCCCTGAGCCCCGAGGAGCGGGCCTGGGGATGGGCTCCAGGAGTGTGTGCAGGACTGGGGGAACAGCCGTGTTTAGACGCAGCCTCCTGGGTTGGGAATGAGTCTTGCCTCTTTCCTAGCCCGAATATGGCAGATCTCAGGAGGTCCCGTTGCCTTGCTCAGTGGAGACATAGGCTCTGAGCCCACCATACTAACTGTTTTACCTGAGCACTGAAACTGAGCATCCTACAGTAGGAAAGAACCCTGGGGAACTTCTAGGCTCTTGTTTTTCAGACTTGCTCCACAGAGCCCCCCTGCGGCTGGCAGAAGGTACTCCCTGCTTCCCCCCACTACTTCAGTCATGCAACTAACTGGACTTTTACTATTTTAACGTATTGAGCTGTCTTGTGAGATTTGTAGGATTTTTTAAAAGTTTTCATTGTTAAAAGTTGTAAACCAGGGTCTAAGCCAGTCTCTGTGCAGATGACTGGAGAAAACTGAACTACACCAAGGTCCAGAAAGGGGGTGTGTTGTTACTAAGGGTGCAACCAAGGCTGCTCGCCCTGCGTCTGGTGCTGCCCTGTCCCTGCCCCCTGCCCCCCCGCCCGTACCAGTGGAGGAGGGCCGGGGAGGCTGAGCTTCCTGTAGGGTGAGGAGGAGAGAAACGTGACCTAGGCCCCTCCAGGAGTCTGTCACAAGGTAACTCCACTCTGGGGAGTCCGTGGGCAGTTGGGGTGAGGGTCCCCTGAGAGAGGGTCCACAGACATCTGTGGTTATCTGGGCCCTTCTTTCAGAGGGAATGGTGTGTGGGAGGGGTGGTGCCAGGCTCTCATTCTGACTGACACCTCCTGTTTCTGGACCTTAGTTCCCCTGAACATGAAACAGGGGGTGGGGGGGGGGTGTTTCCCAGGGTCCTTCTGTGGAAGCTCTGTCGGGGTTCAGGCTGAGGCCCTTTCAGAGGTCCAGAGAGTTCTTTTCTGGCAGCCAATGGGGATGGGGGCGGGCTCTTCCAAGAGGAGAACAGGGAGAGTGATGACGGTGATGTCCCTTTTCACAGCCAATGTTTCTGATCACGTAAGAAAAACCTGGTGTGAAGTCACCTTGTCCGCAAATACGCAGGGGACCCCACGTGGACCACCTGTGTTGCTTTCAGGATCAAGTCCAGTTTCTTGGTCCGGTGCTCAAGGCCCGTCATAACCTTGGCCCACCTCACTTGTCCATCCTCACCCACCTCTCCTTGCCCACTCCGGCCAGTGGCTGGCTCCAGTGAGCCGCTGCACGTTGTTCCTGGGCTCAGGCTCAGGCCGTCCCCTCCGCCCGGGGAGCGCGTCCACATGCCTGCGGTGGCTGTACCCTTAGTACAGCCGTGGGGGCTGGGCCAGGACCTGGACTAGTGTTCCCACGCGGGAACACCTTCCCAGCGTCTCTCAGGAAGTGTGTGTTTTTGACTCTGGAGTCCCCAGAAAAATCAGTTGAAGAAATGAGAAAACATATTGAAATGATCTGTGATACTAAAGCTTAAAAGCATAGAGACATCACTGGTGTGAAGGACTCCATCTGACGAGAAGCAAGCAGGAAACGCCAGCACGCCGAGTTGCAGGTCAGGGGGGCCGAGGCCAGAGCATGGCGGGGAGAGAGAGGCTCGCTGCCCAGTCTTGCTCGCGATGTTATGATGTTACGTGAGCAGGGTGTGTCTGTAGCCCTGCCCGCTGCAAACCGTGAGTCGTTCTTGCAAGTAAAGTAAGTTTATACACAGTGTATTTTATATAAATCCTATGAGCCGTATTCCAAGAAATAAGCGTTGAAAGCAAAATAAGTTCTTGATTTGGCAGTTTAAACACGTGATTCTTGTACTGCTAACCTCGCTAGGATACTTGAATATTACCTTATTTGAATATTATTCAAATAAGGTAATATTCAATTGAATATTGAATAATTGAACACCTGGCATTTTCCAGGATTGAAATATTCCCTCCAGGCTCCGGTTCTTTGTAAATACTGTATAACTAAGCTTAGTATCCCTATTTGTTAAACAAAAAAATTTCCAGCTACCTATAATAATGAGGAAAGAGTGTGAACTATTTTAAGAATAACTTAAGGATTTAGGGATTTTCTGAGAATGCTAATTTCTTGCTCCTAAATTCCAAAGGTTAGTGCTTGTTGTACATTTGTAAACACTAACCCAGACCACGAAGAACTGGGCCCTCTGCGGCCTGGGGAGGACCGCTGTCCTCAGGAGGGCCTGTGTAGCTGCTCGCTGTAGAACTCGGACCACCACCCAGGTCTCCGGACACCTAGTGCCTTTCCCTTTCATTCCAGTGCACTGATTTCAGCCCGAAGAACAATCCCTACACTCCACCCTCCCCCCAGCTCCAACGGCGGTTTTGTTCCAAGGGCAGTTAAAAGGTTGAAAACAACCCTGGCTGGGTGGCTCAGTTGGTTGGAGCATCATCTCATACACCAGAAGGTTGCGGGTTCGATCCTCTGTCAGGGCGTGTACAGGAGGCAACCAATCATATTTCTCTCCCTCAATAAAATCAACATATGAGGATTTAAAAAAAAGGTTGAAATCGAAGGAATGGCAGATAAACGTGGGAGCCATAGTTAATATTTTTAGGGGCAGCCGTGAACACTTACAGGGATTAACAGGCTGCCCTTCTCCCCTGAAACTCCAGAATTTCGTTTAGAGCCTTGGTCTTCACTGCCCTATAGCTGACTTTTTCCTGGCCCTTCACATTTATTTTTCTCTCTCCAAACTGCCCGAAATGTAACGTTTATCTAAAGGCATAAGGCATGACATTTCTGTGGGAAAGGGCTCCCTCTCAGCACCCCGGGGAACTGAACGCAGCAGGGGTTACCTCTGCCACGTGACGGGGAAGGGAATCGAACCAAAGGACTCGGACCAAAGTGGCGCCCCTGCTACCCGGGAGAGCCGGGCTCGGCGCGCACCGCAGGCTTCCGGGGCGTGTGCCTCCGCGCCCTGACCAGTCCTGTAGCTCCTGTGCCTACGGGTTTGCACGGGGTCAACTTCTAAGTTCACCCCCATCCTTTATTACCGCCCTGTGGCCCTCAGCGACTGTTTCCTCTGCGTCAGGTACTCACAGTGGAAAGGGTCTCCACATCCTCTCGGTGGGAAGGGTGAGGGCACTGCCCGGAGAATCCGTAGGCAGTGGTGGGTGTGGCAGGGTGGCCGGGGGCGGAGCCTGGGGGGGGTCCCACCACTCCTTGGTTTCCAGGGAAACCAGACCAGAAACCCGAGCCAACGCCTCCCGCTGCCCAACTGCGGGCAGTTCACTGGGTGGGGGAAGACAGGCCCCTTTTCAAAGAGCTTTTAAATGGCAAATCAGACACATTAATTAAACTTTAATATAACAAATGTTATCAAAGCAGCAATTCAAAACCATAAATCTTAGAAGGTGCACAGGATTATAATGTCAGGTGGCAGTAATGCAGCTACGATCCAGTACGAACGAAGTGCTGGGGTGCCGAGCCGGGCGGGCGAGCTCGCCAGGCCTCGTGCTCACCGCTCACTCCACAAGTGGGGAAGGCACCCCTCCCCGCCCCCTCTTCAGGCCAGGAGCCTCTCTGGAGCCCAAGCAGAGCGAGATGCAGGCGCACGGCGACTGCCTGGCTGGTCCTGTGCTTTCTCAGGAGCCTGGGGAGCAGGCCCAGGAGGCGGCGGCGGCGCTCTCTGAAGCCAGGCAGGAAGCCACAGGATGGACCCCAGGCCCCACACCCCTGCTGGGCTGGGGGCCGCCTTCTCAGCTCCCCTTCCACCCCGCCCCCCTTGGGGGATTTGGTGGCAGCAGCTGTGGGGCTGAGAAGGGAAGGGAAGGGGGAGGGCTGGGCACAGGCAGCGGGGTCCCATTGGAAAGGCACTGTAGGGGCTGAGGGCGAGGGTCATCTGAACTATCGTGGCGAGCCCCTGAAGGCTCCCAGGTGGCGGGGGGCCAGCCAACAACGGTCACCAGTTCCTCAGGCCCGCTGTCCCCATGCCAGCCCCTCACTGTTCATCCGCCTTCGCCTTGCAGCTGGCAGCCTGCGGGTCCCAGCCAAGCCGGAGGCCCCAGCAGCACTTGGCAGGGCTGGTCCCCCTCTGGTGCACGCCCCACGCCACGCCCCCTCAAGGCACTTCTTTCCATGTTTCAGTCGAGAGTCAGTTTCTAACATCTCTGGAAGCAGCAAAAATGAGGGACTCCCACCTCCCATTTCTGGTTTCCCTCCAGATGGATGTGAGTTTTAATGTGGGCTCTAAGGATTCTATTTATACCCCACTGACAAGGGCTTCCCTTGGAGGGGACTAAGTGACGCAGGCCCTTAAAACTCCCAACCTGTCCCAAAAACTGATTGTCATTTCAGGGCGGAGCAGGGAACAAGGCAGAGGAGCCGGGGGTACTCCCTGTGCTTTCCGGCGGGGTCAGGGCTGGTTCAGAGCTGGCTCGGGGGGCTGAAGGAAGGGGCAGGGGCTGGACTTTCACATTTCGTTGCAGCACGTGGTCCCTGGAAGGAGGTCAGGGTGGGGGGTGGCAAGGGAGATGAGGGCAGGAGCCAGGCTGTCACTGGAGGGTGTGTGTGTGTGTACACACCTGGAGGCCAGGGACCCAATGTTTGTGCCTGGAGGGTGAGAGTAGGTGAGGGCAGAAGCTTATTATGTGTGAGGGAACCTGCCTTTGGCTACACGTGCAGTGGTCTGGGGCAGCAGGCGTGGGAAACAAGTCTGAGGTTTGGCACAAAATGCCTTCCTTTCTTCCCACGTTCTCTCCCTGTGCCCCGGGTTTTCAAGGCCACGCCCAGCTCCAGGGTCACTAAGAGGGGTGTGGCCAAGCAAAGGGAAACGGGGACCTCAGAAGTGGACACTGCAGCCCTCACTCTGAGCCTTGACAGGTGGGCTCCGGTGCTGGTACCTTGAGGTGCAGACCCAGCCTCTTGACGCCTCAGATCCTGAGAGTTGCAGGGGCTGCGCCACCCAGGCTTTCATGGAGGCCTGCTGCCCTCACCCCCTTTTCCAGGGCTGGGGGTTTGGGGGAGGGCAGGAAAGTGGAGGGAAAAGCCCCGAGAGCTCTCCTGACCCACCTTCACCCATTCTTCCTCAGAGTTTCCTGTTCTCACAAGGTGGTCCCTGGGGCACCGGCTGCCCCATGAGTCAGGTGGGAGGGACAGTGTGCACGTGGAGGGTGTCTAAACCCCCCCTCAAAAGGTCAAGAGGTAAGTGACACAAAGTTGGGGACAAAGACAGACTCGGGCTTCAGGAAAAAGGATGCCAGGGCCGAGGGGACACACGTTCAGAGGAACAGGTGAGCAGCCGGAGGGAGTGGGGAGCGTGTGGCAACACGGGGACCTTAGAGACACAGGTGAAGGGGCGAGGAGCCTGAAGCAGCCGGAGGGCAGAATGGGCGCGGCAGCGAGGCGCAGACCTCGGCCTGGAAGGTGGGCGGGGGGAGGGGGCCTGTGCCAGGCACCTGCAGCTCCGTCTTGCTTCCCTCCCCCACCCCACCCTGAAGAGAACTGGGCAGCCGGTGGCTCCCACTGTCCCCTCTTTGCTTCCCAGGGCTCCTGGCACCCCCCGAGGGCTGGTCAGTAAGGGGTGGTCCCTTCCCACTCCACCAGGTACTGGACCTTGCCCTCGGGCGTGACCCGCCGTGCCAGCACCTGGTACTTCTCCCCACAGGCTAACCGCCCAGCCGCGCCGAAGTAGTTCGTGATGGACGACTTGAGGTGGGACAAGGACGAGTCGTCCTCACTGATGCTCTCAAACGTGTGGCTGTCGACGCCCTCGTCTGGCCGCTCGGGGCCCGAAGCCCCCTCCGCGCCGCTGTCCGAGGGGCAGTGCCCCCCCAGCTCGGCTGCCCGCCGCTTTGCCCGCAGTGGCATGTACGCCGTGGCCGCCAGCTTCCTCTTGCGGCTGCCCACTGTCCGTCTGTGCCAGGAGGGGAGGGAGAGGCGGGGATGAGGGGGGCGAACCCTCACGAGCCCCTCTCCCTGCGCACTGTGCTGGGCACCAGGCCCTGGGGCGGGCCCGGGCCCGGATTAGCCCACTGCAAATCGCAACAGCCCCATGAGGAAGGGAACGGGCTCCAGGGAGAAGCCCCCAGCTGGGGAGTGACAGAGCCAGGGTTCACACCTAGGTGTGTCGGGCCCCGAACCACACATTCTCTGTCCTTAGGGTTGCAGCCCTGTGCACACCCGGGCCCCATCCTCCGTGCCTCCCAGAGTCGTGTCGGGCGGAGGCCCTGCTGGCGCGGCCTGCCCCTCACGGGGGCTCGCGCAGCTGGAGAGCCAAGGGGGGGTGGGATGGCGGCTACGGATTAAAGCCCCTCGTGCCCCGGAGTCGGGACTGGAGACATACACGTGTGCACACATGAGCGGAAAGAGGCAGGCGTGGTCGGGAAATGGACACGCGAGAAGAGGCATGTTCACGGGTACGTGAAGCAGAAGGAGCTGAACTCAGAACTAGTGAGGAGAAACAGGAAGAAACAAATGAAAATACAGAGGCCACACCAGAGAAAGACACCAGGACAGAGAGGTCTGGTGACAGAAACTCCCAAGACACATAGTTGTACTTTCTCAGGGGCCTCCAGCACCCCAAAATCGAACCAAAGGAGGCCCAGTTCAGAGGAACTCGGGCATGCGCTTTGCGGCACCACCCCCCACGCCGCTGTGGACCGGCTGTGGCCGGTGGCCCCTCGGCAGTGCCCCCGGGATTTCTGTTCCTCTGCCGGACCCTGCACCCCGCAGGATGCCATGGCCCTCTCCATCGGGCTGTCAGATCAACGGCTGTGTTCCCGGGAGACCTGGACGACAGACCTGTCTGTCGGGACAGGACCGTGCAGTCAGGCACAGACAGGCTCCGTCACGGCACACAGAGGCCGAGACCCCCAGAATGAGAGGACCTCCGGCCAAAGGACCCCGGAGTTTGGAACTGCCCGGGGAGAAATGCGACCCAACCTCCCGCAGCAGTCAGAGGAGCGAGCTGGACGTCCAGACCAGACCAGGGCGCCGCAGGCCCAGGCCCACACGGCAGAGGGCCGGGCCCTCCGCCCAAGACACAGACGCACAGAAGGAGCCTCCCGCCGCGGCGCAGAAGTGGGAGGTGGAGGGCCGGTGAGGGGGATGCAGAACCGGAGGAGTCCAGGTGGCCAGGAGGCTTACCTGGAGTCATAGGACAGGCTGGTGGAGGCGGAGCCCGAGGTGCTGGCGGCGTCCGTGGAGTCCACGTCTGAGAAGAAAGTCTGGCCTGAGCTGGCACTGGGAGGGGGGAGAGGGTGAGCCTGCCGTCAGCCCTCGGCGGCCCTGGGGACCTCTGACATGCACCCTCCGTCCTGGCAGAGGCCCCAGTTCCCACCGCCGCTCCCTGCCACCATACCTACAGTGGCCGCCGCCTCTCTGCCCGTCCATGTCCCCCCCTGCCCGACTCCAAAGGCCGAGGAGTCGAGAAAGCCTCCCCTGACGAATTAAAAGATGATAATGAGCATGATCCCAGACAGCTGTGCAACGCTTTGCAGGCCCAAGGTGCCTTCGTCTTAGAAGCCACAGTATCTTGTTAGAATCTCGTAGCCACGCCAAACCAGGTGAGCAGGTTCACAGAAGTTAAAGAATTTTGCTCAGGTTACAGAGCCAGTAACCGGTGGGTGGGGGCCTGAGCCCGGTACTGACCAAAGCCCTTGCCTCTTGCCCGCCTACAGGAAAGCCCTGGATGACCTTAGCGATTTCAGAAATAAAACAGTGGAATACTCAGACCCTCCACTGGGTGGCCCACGCCCCAGGTGCTGTGGGAACACGCAGGAAGTGTCCGAGGCAGCCTGGGGTGAGCCAGTGACAGCTTCCTGGGGGAATGTGAGTGTGGGGCACCCACAGCAATTCTGGTGCGGCGCGTGGGGCCGGGAGAAGCAGGAGAGGGGCTGGAGAAGTCGTAGGGCCCGGGCAAGGCTGGCCTTGCGTGCTGCTCCGAGGGGCCACCCCCGGGAGCCCTGGAGACCACAGCAGGGGCACGTGGGCTCTGAGGTCGCCCCTGTACGCAGCCTTAGGCACGGTGTGTCCTTGGAACGAGAGCTCTCGCTCCCTCAAAAGGCTTTCCGCCTCCCACTTCCAGAGCCCATCTACACCGCGGCGGGGAGTGGAGAGGGGCTCCCCGCTGAGTGTCCAGAGCGGACTCTCTGCGGGGCCCCTCACGGTTACCTTTTTAAACTCTGAATCTCATCCAATGTGAAGTCGAATATGCTGGCCAGGTGGTGGTTGGTGCTCCAGGCTGAGGTAAAGTCGCTCTGTGGACACAGAGGAAGGAGTCGGGAGGGGAGGGTGGGTCAGGGAGCACCCGATCTCCACCCTCCTCCACCCCTGGCTGAGGCCACACAGGCTGCCTGCTGGTGCGGCCCCGGGCTCCTGGGGGCTGGACCCTCCCAGGGAAAGAGTCCTCGCTGGCTTGCTCTTATCCCCAGTCCCGACCAGAGAGCCACGCCGCCCGGCTCCTGTCCCGGCTCTGTCTCTGGCCGACTGACTGCATGACGCTCCCACGTCTGGGTCTCAGGGCCTCAGCTGCCAGCGTGGACAGGGACCCCGCGCGTGCCTCACTCAGAGCGGTGTCGGAAAGTGCAGGGGAGTGGGAGGCACTGCAGGGGCAGAGCCAGCTCTGGAGCCCCGGCGCAGGCCGGGCTCCGCCACTGCCCGAGGTGGGACCTCACTGCTCCTCCCTGGCCCTCCGTTTCCCCACCCGGACAGTGGGGACAAAGATCCTGCCTACCCCCACGCCCCTTCGGGTTCTGGGGAGAACTTGGGGAGCCTGGTTTTCCCTTGTTTAGTTGTAACAGGAGCTGGCTTCTCCTCTGTGGGATGCGGGACAGTCCCCTGGGCCCTGGGGAACGCACTTCCTGCACAGGACTCCCTCCCATGTGCTGACCCTGTGTGGGGACGTGGAGAGTAAGAAAATAAGAAACTAACACTGGGAATAGCATCTTCCAGCAAAAACTTTGATCTTTTTCTTCTATACACTCGCCTTTTCTGCTGCTGCTGGAATTCGTGAGGCAACAAACTGTGGAGACAGAAAAGGGAGAGGGTGGCCCAGTCAGAGCCTGAAGGCCCAGGAGGTGGCCCAGAGGGAGAGGTAGCATGGGTGGGGGCGGGGCCACAGCCGTGGGAGCAGGGCAGGCTCTCCTTCACCAGGGGCCTGGGGAGGAAGAGGAGTCCTCTGGGGCAGCAGGTGTGGGAGGGGATGGAGGGCAGCATCACGGGTAGAAAAGAGAGAAGGTGCCTCTCCAGGCACAGCATCCAGATGCTCCGGCCCCCACATCCAGGACGAGGGGCCTCGGCTCCACCAAAGAGCCATGGACTCCTTACACTCTGACTTCTCTGCCTAAGCCCTCAACCAGCAAGACTGGGTCTCAGGATCTGGCTTTTCCTCCAAGCAAGGCACTAAGGGCTGTGGAGGGAGCCACGATGTAGGGCCAGCCCCGGCTCAGCCAGCGACTGGCCCCTCAGGGAGCCTCCAGCAGGGGCACTGGCTGGGTGTGCGTCCTCCCTGCCTGCCTGGACGCTAGCAGACTGTCTGGGCCCATCGCGTGGCTTGTCAGCTGGGGCTGGGAGTGGGAAGCAGAGATCCAGGGTTCAGCCGCAGCCCTGGTCTCTGGGTCCCCGGGCACTGACCCAGGCTTGCTCTTTCCTCTCTTACGCAGCTCAGAGGAGGTGCCACTCTCGGGGGGCACCAGGCCCTTGTCAGGCAGCAGCTTCCCTGGTGGGTTGGGCGGGACTCGGATTCGCAGGCGAAAGATGCACTTCTTCTTCTTAATCTCCTTGCCGCAGAGGAACCTGGGGGGTGGGCAGGGGAGGAGAAAGCTGTGGAATCTGTTGGTCTGTCCTCATAGGGAGGAGAGCCAAGCATCGAACCTACTCTCTCTGCCTCCCTGTCCCCAGAGCTCAAACCCAGGAGAGATGGCAATTCTTCAAACTCCCAGGCAGTGACTGAGGATGTGGCTGGTGGTTCTTCCCTGTCCCTCCACTGCCTGTGTGTGGCTCTCGGTGCTCCTGTCTCTTTTCTTCTCTGCCTCAGCCAGCCGCAAGGCCACCTCCCAGAGGAAGACTCCTCCAGCTCCCAGGGGAGCACCTTTCTGTTCTCTGTTCTCCCCAAGGAGACGGAAAGCACCTCCAGGCCCTGCCCTCAGCCTCCCAACACCAGCTGGGCTGCCATGAGGCTGCAGCAGTGACGCAGACACAGCCCAGCCCTCCGGAGGCTATTCCCGAGAGGGCAGGAGCCTCCTGGACTCGAGAGCAGGGCTGTGTCTGGGCCCCAAACCGTGAGAAGGTGGGGGAGTGGATACGTCTGCCTAGCTGTGTCCTCACACCCACACGGGGCTGACACAGAGCGGCAGTTCCATAAGTAGCTGTTGGTGGAGCAAATGAAAGGGAAGAACATGAGCAAAAGCATGTGTGGGAAAGCAAAGCATTCAGAATGGCTGACATCCAGAATACAGAAGGCAAAGGACAGTGGCAGAAGACATGGCAGAGTCTCATAAGAGGCCATGAATGCTGTGCTAAGGAGCCTGGGCATTCCCTGGGATGGGGGGTGAGGGACACGTCAGCTGTGTGTCTGAGAGGCACTCAGACAAGTCTGGATGGGAAGCCACGGGCCACGAGGCCCACCTGAGACACGGTGACTCAACCCCTCGGCGCCTGGCCCCGAGCTCCTGCAGATGGCCAGGGCAGCAGGGCCCTCAGAGCTCAGGGGTGCAGATGAGAGTGTCACATGCTGTTGGAGGGTCGGGGGAGCATCGCAAAGGAGGGGGGGGTGCTCCCTGGGTCTCGAAGGACAGGTAGGATTTACACAGTCACAGAGAAGGGGCAGGAGACCCAGGCAGGCCGCACACCTTGAGCAAAGACTATGAGGCAGGAGAACCCTTAGAATGAAGTCCCACCCGTAGGGGGCCCCACGGCACGCCCTTCCCTGCACGCACCGGCTTTTGTAACTGTTCAGCGCGTTGAGGAGATGCGGTCCTCGGTCGGTCACGGGGGTGCTGGTGAGCTATGGGGGAGCAGGCCAGCAGGACAGTCAGACCCTGGCGTATGGCATCTGAGGAGGCCTCCGCCACACACCTCCCTCCCCTCAGTCTCCTGAGTCCTCCAGGTGAGAACCACTGATGTAGCCATGACCTCAGACGAGTCTTTTCACCTGTGCTCAGCTCCCACCTGTAAGTGGGGCGAGGCACTCCTGTCCCAGATGTATCAAGAGCTTTTAAAGGTGACTGTGTCCTTGACCCAGGGGTGCTACTCCATGGACTCGATCATCAGGACAGAACATGAAACACGGACAAAGCTCCATGTACAAAAATGCTCACGGCAGCCCTGTTCTCAGTGCTGGGCCGACGGGACACATGGGAGAGAAACAATGTCCAACAGGAAGGACACGAGTAAACGGTGGTCGAAATCCACGCAGCCTTTAAAATGTGTATGAACACTCTCCCGTGACAGGAAAAATTAATTATTTATCATGTAATGAAAACTGAAAAAGGTCATTTAAAATACTGTGTAATCTAAACCACGTGAAAGAAAAAACAGGGAGAGAGGATGGAAGGAGACGCACCTGTGCATTAATGGCAGCTGTTTCTAGGTTGTGTGGTGTGTGGATGGGTTTTTTAACACACGCTTCCTTATGCTTTTTGGTACTTTAAAATTGTTCTACCAGGAATATGTAAAATGATTTTGTAAATCAGAAAAAAAATGTCATTTTTTAAAAAAAATGCACCAGCTCTACCTGTCTTCCAGGGCCTTATAATACGTATGTCTCTTATACATTATCAAACACTGTAAGTAAGCATATTATATGAAACACTTTTGCAAAGTATAAGGTTACCTTTTTTTTTTAAACCCGTCTTAACCAAAGAAGGATTTGGGGCACAGAGAAGAGAAGACGCCTCACTCTAGATGTGGTAGGGAGGGTTCTAAGGGTGTCAAAGGGAAAAGGGGACATAGCCCCACCATGGAAGTGGTTGGGGGTCCCCCGGCTCAGCTCCAAATGTCCTGGGCGAGTCATTCTCCACCTCTGACATCCTGCAAGTCCGGTTTGCTACTTCAATCTACGCGGACCCTGGTGCCCACTTCTGCTATTCAAAGTAGGACCAGCAGGGGGCAGGCGCACCTCACTTTTCCTCCTAGCCAGGTAATCTGAAGTTAAGTCAGCTATCTCTGTGGAGAGCCCTGCTCCAGCCAGACTTGATCCTTAGTTCTGTACAGCTGAGTCTGTGAGGTCCTAACCAGCCCACTGTCAAAACCTGGGTCAGGGAGCCCCTTGCAAGGCACAAGCTTGGCTTGGAGATGTGGATTCGGGGTCCCAGCAGCTCAAAGGCTCTGGGGCTTTATTCCAGCTAGCAGCTTCGAGTTAGGGCTCAGAGTCCTGGATCCCAGCCCACGCCCTATGACCCTGGGAACACCTCTCCGCACTGTGGGACCCCCGCTGTGGGACGGGGTCCTGCCATTCCGCCGTCCCATGGTCCTGCGTACCTTGCCGAGCTGCAGGAGCTCCCAGTGGTGGTTGACAAAGGCCAGGATCTCCTCAAAGTCAAAGTACTTCTTCTTGCTCTGCACCCCCAGGTTGTAGAGGGCCAGGTGAACCACATCCACCCTGGGCGAGGGGGCAAGGAGGTGGGGCCGGGGTGAGGCAGCAGGCAGGGCCGGAGCCTCCTGGGTCAGGACTGAGGGGCAGGGGCAAGGCTGGGAGCTGGTAGTTGGAACTGGAATTGTTCCTGGAGGGATGGGGGAGGAGAGGGGCTGGGAGGGGGCGGGGGCGCCTGGGCCAAGCCCCATCCTCTCACCATCGCAAGGGCAGCCTCTCGATGTATTCTGGGCCCTGGTTACACACGGAGCAGAAGAACAGGTAGAACCTGTGGGTGGGTGGAGAGGGGGCCTGTGGTGGGAGGGGCTCTGACACCCCACCCTAACGCAGCCCCCTCACCTCCCACCTGCCTTCCCATAGTCAGCTTGTTCTTATTCCTAGGGCTCGTGGCTTGGGGGTGGGGGTAAGGGCAAGACAGAGACCAGGAAATACCTCCCTGCCCCTTCACATCCCTACCTGAACCCCTGTCCCCAGTGTCATTGCCCTGGAGTGTGGCTGTGTTCAGAGGGTGGGCTGCAGTGGTCACACTCTTCCCCTCTGAGACACACACATGCAATCACCAAGGCACCCATAGGCCTCCCATTAGCTTAGCCCCATTGGTTAGAAGCTGGGTCAAGTCATCCATTCACCCAGTGGCTCCACAACAACCCTGGGCAAGGGTGGGCAGGGCCTGTGTCACTCCCCCCTTCCTCAGCTACTTAAAGAGACTGGGGCTTAGGGAAGGTGGGGCTGTGTCTAAGATCCCCCACAAGTCGATGGCAGTTGGGGATGCGGTCCAGAATGTTCCTCTGCAGGAAGTCTTCCCCCACAGAACCCCACTTCACTAGCGCCTGGCAGGCAGTCTGAAGGAGGTGCTACTCCTGCCCCCACCCCCACCTCCACCTCACACTCAAGACTGAGGCAGAGCGGATCAGCACCTACCGGTCCCCAAACATCATGGGCTCGTTGAGGCACTGGGTGCAGGCCTCGTGGAACCACTGCCTGCACCGGAAACACTGCAGCATCCGCAGATACCACCTGCAGACAAAGAGGAGCCAGGGTCACCTGGGCCCAGGCTCCCGGACAGACACGAGCCTCAGCAACCTTTCCCAACATAAATGTGCCCTCCACTGGGGCCAGGGGAAGAGAACCCAGTGACCGAGCACTTGGGCTGTGCCCAGGGAGGTCCTGGAAGCAGGGCACATGCCATCTCCTTTGATCTCAGGGTGGGACCCTATGTCCAGTTTATAGGCAAGTCGGAGGTTAAATGGCTTGCTCAGGGTCACTCAGGAAGCAAGCGGTGGATGATGATTTCAATCCTGGCCTCCCCGACTTCGAAGCGCTCTTCCACCATGCCAGACTAGGGTTCCCATCTCTGGGCTGCGCCCCACACGCTTCTCCCCAAACACCACTGACAGGGAAGAGTTTGCCCAGGAGACTTGGTGGAAGAATAAAGGCTCTTGTAACCAACAGGGCAGTGCTACGTCTGGTTTTTCTCGCCTCATGGCCCTTCCACACCTACTCAGTGACTGTAAGTTAAGAGCAAAATGGTGTTTCCTCAACAAGAGTCAATGCCTTGTTCTCAGCCTGTCAGGTGTGGCCCATGGACCACCCACTGGCATTGGAATCACCTGGGGTCTAGGTTCATCTGCAGGTTGCTCAGCCCGCTCCAGACCTGCTCAACCTCTGGGGGAGCCCCAGGGAAATGCATTTTAAACAATCACCCTGGGTAACCCTGCTCAGAAGCACGGAAAACCACTGCCTGGATGCTGTAAAGGTCTCTTTGAGAAAAGCATTTCTCCACAGCCTCCAGACCCCTACTCCTTGTCAGTGCGGGACTAAGATGCAAACTTCAAGGTGTCCTGGAGGCTGCCTTTCCTGGGCGCAGAGAGCCCATCTCTTAGGCTGGCGTCTGCAGTCTCCATGGCTACACGGAGGCCCAGGCCCTCAAGGAAGAATCAGGCAAAGACCCTTGCCCTATAGCCAGGACAAGGATCCCCTCCACAGTATCCACAACGTATGACACCCCACTCCTTCCTTGCACCCACCCCCCCCAAAAAGTGTCTTCATTTCTCACCAGCAGCCTGTTTCATTGGCTCTGGCAGTGGAAAGGTTTGTCTTAACTTCCACTCACCCCCAGTAACAGCTCACATGTAAATGCCCAACAAGTGCCTGGCCTTTAGGCGAACCATCGGACTCTGGCGGGGCTCACGGCCACCACAGAGCGGGAAAGGACCACGAGTACTTAGGCTCAGGGCCTGCACAGCTATCACGGGGTTTGCACCCTCGTGTCCAGGCTCTTAATCATTGTGTAACACTTCTTTTCCGCGGTGCCCCAGGAAACCACCTCCACCTAATTTCGCTCATCCTTAACGTTCGGGCTTTTCCCGGGAGGTCCCGCTCGCTGGGCCCCGCCCCTCGACCCAGTTCCCTCGGCCTGACCTCCCTGGAGCGCCCCAGTCGGCCCGCCCCGGCCCCCGCGGCCCTGCTCCTGGAGCCAGGTTCCCCGTGGCCTGACCCTCCTGGCCCGCCCCTCTCCCTCGGGGGCCGGGCCCCGCCCCACCCCGCCCCTCCCCGCCCTGCCCTTGCCGCCTTACTCTCCCGGGCCGCCGCAATAGCAGTAGCACTGCTGCTGGTTGGTGCGATGGGGCGAGTCCCACTCGAGTTCCTCGGGCTGGTAGGATAGCACCATCTTCACCGCCTGCAGCGTCCTGGCGATGGCGCCCTTCTTCACCGCGCCGCCTTTCTGCGGGAGATGAGGGGGCCCGGTTGGGCCAGAAGGGCAATGCCCACTAGGGGGACCCGCAGATATTCCAATAAAGTCAGACGCAAAGAGCTTTTTCTCAGCCATCCCAAATCCATCCTCTCCCTTCCTCTGAAGGATCTCCATTAATAGTAACAAGCACAATAAAGGTAATAATAACTAATGACTGTGGGCACATACATGGTTTTCTTTTAATAGTAAGGGTCCATTTATTGGGGCCTCCTAGTCCTGACACCGAACGCGCATCCATTTTACAGTTGAAGGGAACTGAAGCTGCGGCAGGCTAAGGAACCTGGCCGAGGACATACGGCTGGCAGGTGGTAGAGGCGCTGTCTGCCTCCAAAACCTTGGCTCCGTGACCCGGAGGCAGGCCTGAGCCCGGACAGTCGCTGGGCTTCACGGCTGGAGAGGGAGAGGCAGGGACTGAAGGATGGGGGCTCACCCGCACAGCCAGCGCGAAGATGCACCGTCGGCAGAACCAAGGTGTGAGCAGAGTCCGGTCGGCACTGCCTGCTATGGGGATGTGGCACTGCTGGTGGTAACCTAGGCAGAGGAGGGGTGCTGGGTGACCACAAGGAAGCCGTGGCCCGGGGCCAGTCAGCCCAAAGGCGGCAGGGCTGGGAAGGGCTGCAGCAGGTCCTAGGAGCTGCATGCCTGCCAGCTGCCAGGGGGACTGGCTGGCCATGCTCTCACCAAGGCAAGCCAAGTTGGTGTCCAAGCAGGCGACTGAAAGACAGCCTGAGCCCCAGAGGGGGAGGGCACCGAGGTCTGACTTCAGCCTGTGTGCCGCATCTCTCCTATTTATGCTCTCTGTCCAGGGAGGCTCCAAACTGCATAACTAGTCTCAACTTTCCAGAAGCCCCAGCTCGCCCCAAGGGTCCCCCCTTCCTGGGCCCTGACTCCCAGAGACTGGCCCCTGTCGCCGCGGAGCTCCAAGAGAAACAGGAAGCCAGCCTAGGCCCCAGCAGTGCGAGGCACTGCCTGTCCGGGTCCAGTGCAGGCGGGGTGGGGTGGAGGGACCACAGGTCAGGGCCCTCTCAGTGCCCGGCTCAGCACACTCACCCAGGCCACACTTGCCACAGATGAGGATCTCATTCAACGGCCCTGATGTCTTCCCCAGGCAGATGTTACACTTGGGCTCCTCCCCGGGAACTCCAGCTGGAAGAAAGAAAGAGGCCCTCTGGGGTCCAGCTGGCTGGAACTAGAAGCTTTAAAATCACATTCCAGGTGCCGAGACTCCGCGGACTGGGCCTAGCCCTGGGCCCCACAGGCCAGCTGGCCGAGTCTTCCCAACCACTCTGAAGTGCCTGTTGTCATCACCCCATTCTAAAGATGGGGAAATTGAGGCTTAGAGAAGTCAAGTCCCATGCTCAGCTAGTCAACAGGAGAGGTGGGGTTCAAACCCGCGGCTGTTTGACATGGAATCCTGTTCTTTTGGTCATGTTCCCTCTCCTGCCTGATTTAACTTGATTTATTATAGTTTTTTAATGTTAAATAATGTTTTAAATCTTCATTATGGGAATATAATAGATGGAAGGGTATAATTTAAGTCTATTCTCACTAACAATTATGAACTCCTGGCCAATCTTGTTTTGACAATATTCCCTCCCACTTCCCACCATTATTTTCCCTCAAGTCCCAGATACCCAATCATTTCCATAAATATTTCAGTATGTATCTCTGAAAGATGAGAACAGTCTTTTAAAAAAAATTATAACTACAGTACCTTCATTGCACCTGAAAATTAAAAATGATTTCCTTATATCCACACTTGAGTTCGTATTCACATTTCCAGTTGTCTCAAGCAAGTGTCCTAACAATTTTAAGTTTGTTCAGTTGCTTTTAAACTATAAGTTCCCTCTCCATCTTTTTTTTCTTCCCATTCTGTTTTTGTTGAAGAAGAAATATGTGTTTAGGTGTGGAAGGTTTGAGTGAATACATTAAACACAGGTGACATGTATTTCTGCCTTGGCACCACCACCCGCCGTGGTCCCTGGTAGGGCGGGCCTCCTCCTCAAGGTCGGCTGAAGTGAGCCCTTTCCTCCCCCGCGGCTCCCTGTGCTTTCAGTGAGAGGGGAGCCCAGGAGAGCAGGTCCTTATGGCTTTGGATCTTTATATAATAAATTGAGAGGAGAGGGGCTTGGAGAAGAATCAGTCCACATTAGCCACAACACCCCGGAGAAAAAGGCAATTTAGAAGCTCTACTAACTGCCTGGGTTCTGTGGCCCCTACTTGGTAGGCCCCTTGAAATCATCTCTTCTGGTGTTGGGAACCGCCCTGCCTGGTATCAGAAGCTGTAATTCCCAAGGGTGAGGCTGAGGGAACGACCCTGGACAGTAAGCCAGCAAGGAGACAAAAGTTTATCCCCCTGGCAGGAGCACCGCTTCTGCTCCTTTTACTTCACCCTGCCTGGCCCCCAATGCTCGGTCGGTTAGCCAATGATGGGTAAGATTCCCCAAGGGAGGAACGATCTAAGACAGGCACGATCACATGGGAGGCCCCCAAGGAAGGACTTTGGGGGCTACGGCAAAAGGGGGTAATGGACCCTCGCCCCTCAGGTTTGACATAGCCTGAGTCCTCATTCTGTCTGCATGAAAATCTAATCTCTTGGGTGCCTTACTTCCCTTGCTCCACCTAAGCCTGAAACAATGACAGAGGGTGGTGCAGCCCTGTGCTGGAAAGGACAGGTTCCTCAGGTGATCAGGCCTAAGAAAGAATGTGTAAAATCCTGTGAAACCTGCTTTGTTTAGAATGCTCTCAATTGAATGATAAGGGTCCAAGGAAGAAGTTAAGTTTGTTCCTCAAAGTTTTACAGCTCTTTAGCTATCTGACCCTGACTCAGAATAGGCCCTCAGAGTTCCTTGCTACCTATTGTTCGATCCTTACTTCCTGGCAATGAGTAATGAGCTTTACCTGAATTCTTATGCAAACGAACCCAATAAAAGCCTGCTCTGGCGGGAGAATGAGGTGCTCTCCCTTAGGGGCGCTCTTCCCTAGGGAGGGTGGCCATGGTGCTCCCCACTACAGAGAGTGGCCGTTCCATCCCTATTTCCCCACAGGACCTGGTTGTCTCTGTGTACGTTTTTCTCATGTTTTGACGAGCCATCCGCAGCGTTCTGTGGTCACTGCCGGTCAGTGGCTGCCACATTATGGTAACAAATTCTTCAGAAGCAGCGCCCCTATAGCCCTGGACTAAGCATTTTCTGTGGATTATTTCACTTAACCACCCTGTGAGGCCAGTACTTTCGTCATCTGTTTGTTTCAGATGCAGAGACTGAGGGTCAGAGAGGTTATGTCCCTTGCTCAAGGATATGCAACCAGTAAATGGCAGAGCTAGACCTTCAGCCAAGGAATATCTGACCCTAAGACCTGACCCCTCCATACTTCCCCATGTATTCATTTGTTAGAGCAGAAGTGGCAAACAGCCTGCTGGGACCTCCAGAATGCCACTGATGTCCCCTCTGTGAGACAGTGTCGGCTCTCTGAGGGCAGAGGTGTACCCAACCCAGCTCCCTTTCAACCCTGAAAGCCCGTCCAGCTCCACTGGGCATGTCTGTCTTCACCCTGCCTGGTCTTTCTCTGCTTTCTTGGTCTTTCTCCCACGGCTAGAGCTGCCTCCACTAGTTTTCTTCACATGTTGATAGGGGACACTGTGCTCATTTAGAGGTGACAATTCCGATGGCCTGGGGCCCTCCCTGTTCCGAGCCCAGAGAGACTAGGAGCTCTGTGCAGCAGGAGATGAAGGGCAGCAAGGAGGCAGACACAGGCCCGGGACCCACCCTGCCCCCACCACCTCCTAAGTCACCTTCTCCACCTGCTGGCCTCCCTCATGAGGTATGGGCACCCGAGGGGATGACAAATGTCATAAGGGCCTTTCCATGCAAACCCACAACTGGGATTCTGATCAGCACTATCAGTTGGGCTTGGGTTTCATGGACAAGGTCAGATGGCAGGGATAAGAGACAGAAGGAGATAAGGGGAGAATGGAGGTGGAAGAAGAGAAAGGACACGGGGTGGGGCGGGGGTGTCCCAAATCTCAGCAGTACTCACCATGCTGTATGTCCTTCCACAGGACCCAGTACTTGGAATTATCTTCAAAAGTCACAAGGCAGCTCTGCTTTGAACTGCTGACCTGGGGCACAGAGAGGGAGTAGCAGCGTGAGAAAGTGGCTGGGGAGAAGCCCTGGAGCACGCACGCTCTTCTGCAGGGCCTAGGAACGAAGGTGCCCCCTCCTTGGGCTCCGGAGAGCAGAGGTGGCCCAGAGGGGAAGGCAGGTGGCAGCTCTTCAGGGGAGTGCACGCCCAGTCCCTGGAGTTGTACCATTAGGGACCAAGGGACAGCTTGATGAGAATGCTGAGGACAGAACAAGCCACATGTTTGTCTGTGGTCATCGCCAACCTCAGTCCATGCCGTTTTGTAGGCTCACAGAGCTCTTTTCTGAAGAACTGGTTGGGTGACGTTAGCTCTAAGGATGGCAGCTGCTAAAGCTCCTTCCATGCCCACTCAGCCTTTGAGTGTGAGGGACAAGAAGGGAACTTCCCTCGATCCCCCATCCTCCGTCACGGGTCTGAGGCCTAGGCCGTAGGATGAGCAGAGAGACGCTGAAAACCTGGGAACAGGGGCCGGGGAAAAAAGGTTTATTTACCCTCTTGATCTTCCCAAGGTAATACAGTCCATCGGTCCACCGGCACAGCACATACTGGCCCTCCGTCAGCTTGGACATCAGATCTTTGAAGTTGTTCTTGGCTTTTGCCAGGGCCCCCTTGTTGGGGACGTGGCTGGTGGCACCATAGGAGTCCCGAGTCCCTGGGTCCAGAGCTCGATTCTCCATTGGTTTCCACTCTTACTGGAAGAGAAAGAGAACAAGGGCTTGTTACTCCTTGCTTCAGAGATAGGGGAAGGGAACTGCCATTTACGTACTCTGTGGTGTGTGCCAGATGCTTTTATTATCTCACAAGATCTTCATGGCAGCCCTGCGAGGGGTGACTTATTATACCCATTTTACAGGCAGGGGAACTGAGGTTTGGCGAGGGGAAGTGGCCAGGGGATTCAAGTCTGAGCCGTAGCTCATAATCGGGTGGGCCGAACCTGAGTTCTGCTCTCTTCTCCATCCTTACCACGCTGCCTTCTGCTGAGCAGAACCTCTCAGCCAACCACAGACCAGGGGCCTGAACCACACGCACTCTCTGGCTTAGGAACCCGAGGCTTTATCCCTCAAATCCTTTTCATCTCATTGCACACATAAACTAATTACAAACATTCTGCAGCACACCAAAAATATATATATTTTTGCTGATCTGATTCAAAAATACGTATAATTTTGGTTGGTTTACAAACAAATAACGATAGTAATTACCTACCCTTTTTGCTCCACAGTGACTTTTTAAACAATACTTGTATAGTCTTGTTTAAACTTGTATATCAGAATATCTGGTACCAAGAATTAACCAAGCAGATGCAACCTTATTATGCACCGTCACCAATAAGATGCAACTCTATTATATGACCTATATATTTATGGTTCAAGACAGGGCACTCACACCTGACAGCTATTGTCTTGTTGGCTGTTGTCATTTTTTATCTGACAATCTAAGGGAAAAGAGGTCAGTGGCCCTGACTAAATAGTCAGGTATTGCATGTTTTAAAACTTCTCGCAGCACGCCAGCTGAAAATCGCTGCCTTAAGCAAACATACCGCGTGCTCTCTGAATGGAGGGCCTTCTCCAGGAGGGCAGCGGGAAATCTTATACTCTCACTCCGGCCCTGAGAGCTGGCCCAGAAGACTCGTCCAGAAAGGAAAACGCCCGGGTGGCTTGTGAACTGGTATGGACTTGGCCATCTGTGTGTGTCTTCTGTGATCTCCCTTTCTGTTCTCAATTACGGGATGATTTAATGGAAACCAACGCTGGGACATTTAAACTCACTAGTGCTTTTTACTCAAATGCAAATTTGCTCTGAGCAGTTGTGACCACCCTCTCCGTGACCACCACCCTCTCTGTGACCCGTTCTCTCACCAGCCTATAAAATGCTTTCACTCTTCCTGTTAAGGGGTCCCCAGAACCCCCAAACACCTTAGACCTCTCCAACCAATCAGTTGCCACATCCACCAACTGTGGGCTGCAGGGACTTCTGATATCCTGCAGTCTTTTCCATCCCTCTGTCCCCGGTCTGAGTTAGGGCCTCACCTTGCCTGGGCCAGTGAGTCATTCAAAAACTATTTCCTGCGCCTTGTGCTCACCTACACTGGTCACCTAGGTGGGGAATGATAACCACCAGGATTCGACAGCACACTCCCTGCTTTCCTGCCTCCCCACCAGGCTCTTCCGCAGGGCCACCAATTCCCATCTTATTCTCTCCTGGAAACCTTCTGTGGCTCTTCAATGCCTTTCTAAGTCCTCCCCCAAGGCCTCCTCCTCCCTTCTCTGGGCTCACCTGGCTTCATGCCCCTCCACACACTCTTCACTAAGCCAAACACTGCCTCCCTCTGTTCCTTGCACCGGCTCCTCTGGTCTCCTCTCTCTCTGCCATGGCGCTGGTCACCTGGTGTTATGATTATCTGTACACAGGGACGTTTGAGTGTGTACTCCTGTGAGACTGTGTTGGATGTCTACAGCAATATGTCAGTGAGCATATGAAGCTAAAGACATGTGTGTGCATGTCAGGCGCCCCCAGGCACGCAGGGCACTGCTGGGGTCTTGGCTCTCCAGAGGGCGGCGCACCCACCCCATGTCCCCATTCCTCTTTTCTTCAGGGCAGAGTACACAGGCATCCAGCAGGGTATGCAGTCCGAATCCCTGCCTTCTCTGCCACCTGACTCCCTCCCTGGCTCTGCAAGATCTCCGCCCGAGGCTCTGCGAGGTCCCCTCTCCCGCCAGCCCGGGGCTCAGGGCCCTGGCAGGTTCACAAACTGACACTTCCTCCCCAGCCTAGTCGCTGGGAGCTGGCCGGATCGCCGCGCCCCCCCCCTCCCCGCCCTGGCTGGGCCAAGGAGGGGTGGGGTCACGGGTGGCGGCCCCCCACCCAGGTCTCCATCCCCCCGGAGCGGGCCCCCGTGGGCTGTGATTGGCTGATTCAAACCCATCTGCAAAGAAATGCCTCTTTGCGGGTTCTCGTCTGCGTCCAGTTCAAATCCGCGGCACCCGGAGCGCGGGGCCAGGCGGGGGCAGGAAGCGAGGATGATTCATGCGCCGGGGCCTCTCCCAGGGCGGCCGTTGGCTTTTTAAAAAACGGTATTAAGGAGGGCGGGGGGAAAGCTTGCAGAAGAACCCCCTTCGGGTCAGTGCTACGCTCTCTCTTCAGTCACTACGACGCAGAGCCGCCCCCTTCCCCATTCTGGAGCAGCCTGACTTCGGACGTGAGCAAAATCCCAAACGCCCCCGTCGGTCTCCCCCACATACCACTCCTCCCCCCGAGAAGAAAAAGTAAAGATTTTGGGACAAGTGAATAGCGACCTGTCACCCACGCCCCCCAAAGTTTCGGGGACCCTGGCGAGGTTCCCGCCGCAGACACCGATCTGCACCCTTCGGCCCCCAGGCGCGCGGCTCCCCAGGACTCCAAACCCCCCCCACCCCAGGCGTTCGCCCAGCCAAAGTTCTGGGAGATTGCAAAATAGAAGAGTGTGGCGCGGAGTCCCCGGGCCCCGGCTGGCCGCCTGCAGCGCTCAACTTACCGCGAGCCTGCGTGTCCGCCGGTCCCACCTGGAGTCTGGCCACCAGGCGCATCGGCGGCAGAGACCGAAGCACTCGGCCCGCGGCTGCCCGGCCGAGTGTCCGCCCGTGGGGCCGGGGTCGGGGTCTCGGCGGGGGCGGGGCGGGGCGGGGGCGCCGCGGGGAGGAGGGGGGAGGAGGAGAAGGGAGGGGCCCGGGCGCTCAGGAAGGGGCCCCCCGGGCGCGGGGCGCCATCTTTTTCGCGTTTTCCCGCGAATTATTGACGTCCCGCTTATGTAATTAACGGGGGCCGTGCCGGCCTTGCCATTGGAGCCCGCGGCCGCGGGGCCCCGCAGCGACCCGCCCGCCCGCGCGCCCGCCCCCAGGCGGCCCCCGCCGCCACCGCGCGCCGGGCGCAGACGCGCGGCGCGAGTGCACGGACGCAGAGGCAGTGCCGCCACACCGCCGCACCGCGGGGGTGCAGGCACAACGCCCGCACTCACAGGAGCAGTACCCGACGCGCGCGTTCTCAGGGCAGGCACACACTTGTCAAGGAAACACTGCTTCGCGCACAGGGCACAGACCTACAGCTGGCACAGACACAGCAGGGAGGTGCAGGCTCACAGCGCAGACAGGATCCAGGGCAACCCAAACCGGATTCACACAACATAAACGCACAACACCCTGCGCTGGCAGCACGATCAGCAGAGACACAGCACAGATATAAGTTCACACCACACCATATGCACGACACGTACATACAATAAAGAGGCAGCGATTACAGAGTGTAGACACAGATACAAACAAGGAGAGACACACAGTGTACAGAGCACAGACACACAACAGAACTTACACATAAGGTGGACAAACAAGCACAGTAACAAAGTCCATCAACAAATTGCACTCAGTGAGCAGAAACAACACAAAGATAGGTTGCAAAAGCCTACCACATACGCAAACAACGTACTAAATGAATGGGGAAGCTGGGGAAGTGTGTTCAACATGGGAGTGGCCATGGCTTCCCCACCCTACCCCAGCTTTCCCTGATCACTGTCAAGTTGCCCACCCTTGGCCTTCTGCCTCTGGCCCTTGGGGTGTGATATCTCCAGCTGGCTGGGTCTGCTTTTAGGGTGTGCAGGGCAGAGACTACAAAAGGAAGCACCTACCTCTTGTTCTTATAGGCCAGCTCCACTGATGACTGGCTGTGGACTCTGAGCAGATCACTTCAACCCTTCAGCCTCAGTTTCCTCAACTAAATAGAGTTGCTGGGAAGGTTAGAATGAATATGCACAAAGCCCTGGGCACCCAGTGGGTTTGCAGTGACTGTCGTACTTTGTCAAGAAATTAAATATTCATTGAGTGCCCCCCTGGCTGAACTAGAACAGGCAGCTGTGGGGCCCACAGTCTCATGGGGGTGTCAGGTGTTGGTACAAGCAGCAACAACACATATATGAATGTGACAGGTGTGGTGCAGTGAACTGGACGCGGCGGAAGAGTCCTGCCTTCGAGTCCAGCTCTGCCTGGGAGCCAGTGGAGGATCTTGGGTGGTAAGCTGGTCTCCCTTTAGGCCACAGTTCCTCACCTGTTCAAAGTGGGTAATAATGCTATTCCACCTCACAGGGCTGTTGCTTAAATGGGGTTAAAATCAGGTTATGAGTGAAGGTTAAAATAGCATGATGAAGGAGCAGGTACTTTTGTAATCAGAAACGTGGATCAAAGGCATTGTTAAAACTGCAAAACGGGACATCATAAATGCCACTGGAAAGGTGTAGTGTGGCCAGTGATGTTTTGCAGCGACTTGACTTTGCTGTGAGAAGAGAGGATAAGTCTCACGAAAAAAAGTGACATTTAGGTAGAATGTGGACCTAGGGATGCCAGCCTTCCAGGTGAAGCAGATGGTACTTGCGGGAGCCTGGGCTGCAGTGAGTTGTGTGCATGGGGCTGGAGTCCAGGTGCGTGGAGGGAAGCAGTGGAGGTGAGGCTGGAGGAGCAGGTGGAGCTGAAAGTAGTGGCCTGAACTTGATTTTCAGCTCACAGGCCATCCAGAGCCACTGAACAAGGTGACAAGTGGCACATGTCCTAGGAGAGCCATTGGAAGTCTAGAGCAGAGAAATGCTGTAATCTGAACTTGCTTTGGGATCTGGCAGAAGCAGGTTGAAAGTGTGGACAAACAAGGGAAAGACAAACAGTCCAATGTAAAGAAAAAAATGGGTTAAAGGTAGCAACAGGCAATTCACAAAAGGGGAAACCTAAATGGCCAAAAATATGAAACAAGGTTCAACCTCGCTGGTCATGTGAGAGATGCAAATGAAGAATGGTGACACACCATTTCACATCCCGCAGACTGATAAAGAGGAACAAGTCTGTCGATGTCGGGAGAGGGGGTGGGGGTGGCAAGGATGTGGCACCTTTGGGACCCTTATAACAACATTGACAGAGACAAAAATGGCTACCACGGCTTTGGAGTGGACTTCGGCAATATCCAATCAAGTTCAAGATGCTCTTATCTACAGTCCACTGACTCCACTGCACCCACTCCACATGTAATTGTGAAGTTAGACATTGATTCATTATTCATCTCGATGGCTATTGAGATAGATACTTCGTGATCTATTCACACAGTGGAATCATGCACCGAGATGAGAAAGGAACTAAGGCTGTGAGCTTCACCATAGATGTTGTGTAGGAAAAGACAACATCAAGTTGTGGGGTAGGTACAGTGTAATACAAACAGTTGCTTTAAACAGACACATGTATGTTTAGGGTTCCAGTCAGGGAGGAAAAGTTTATGCAGCACACGGAGCAGCAAAGGCACCACATTTGGAAGGGCAGCTATCCCTGAGAAGGGGGCGATGGCACGGCGGTCAGAGAGAGGTATGCAGGGCTTTATCTATTTCTGTGCTTTTTTAATCCTCATCCGTGAACACCTTTTCATGGCCTTTTCAAGAGAGAGGAAGGGAGCAAGAGACACTGATTGGAGAGAGAAGCATTGGCTGCCTCCTGTATGTGCCCAGGCTGGGGATCGTAAGAGCCAGACCAGGCACCGAACCTGCAACCCAAGTGTGTGCCCTGACCGGGAATCAAATCCGCAACTTTCTGGCTACAGGGCGATGCTCCAACCAACTGAGTCACACCAGCCAGGCCTGTAATGTTTTATTTCTTAGGAGAAAAGATCTGAAGCAAGTGTGGCAAGGTGTCGAGATTTGGCAATGCTGAGTCCAGAGTTGTTCTTCCTGATCCTTCTCCTTCTCAAGTGTAAAACTTTTTCTGTTTTCTGTGTGTTTGAAGTATTTGATAGTGCCAAGATGGAAGGGGCAGGGAGACCGATGAGGTTTGGTCACGTGTGCAGGGCCATCAGAGCGCAGTGTCCCAGCCTGTCTGTTTGGCAACTTGTCACAGCTTGAGGAAGCAGGCCCAGCAGATCCGTCCAGAGGGGAGGGAGTGGGGGCTGGGAGGGGCGGAGCGATCCCCCCCCCCCCAGGAGGTCACACACAGTGTGGGGTGAGGTCTCCTCCCCTGACCCTCAGTTGTGTCTTTGCACTTGCCCATCAGGCGGGACAATCAGAGGTCAAAGTCCTCAGAGAGGTCTCCTGCCTTGAATCCTCCTCCTCAGCCCACGGCATTCTTCTATCTTTTTCTTTCCGGGAAGGGCAACTTGGAAAACGTAGAGAAGCACAAGGAAGAAAATAAAAGTCACTTGTGACTTTTCATGGCCTTATTTTTGTAGTCAAGTTTTGAGGTATGTAGACACTTCATATAAAATAAAAAATTCGCCCCTTTGAAACATACAGCACTATGTTGAGAGAACATGATTTCATTCTGGAAATTTTTGTCAAGCACTAGTCAAGTTAGCACACACAAAAGGGCTCTGCAGAGAAGGAAATGCTTTTCACCAATAGGAACACCTACGGCTGTGGTGCAGACTTTGGAAATAGTAATGTTAACGGTGTTACCACCCTTGAAAGCAGGGGTGCAGCTAGGTGGGCCTCTGTTCCGCTGTCTGAATTGGGGTGTCGGTTTATAACGTCCTCAGCATGGCGGTGCTGAGAGTTTGCAAATTAGAGTAGAAAGCACAATTGTTAACAGCACTTAAAAAATTAAAAAAAAAAAAAACAAGAAAAACGCAAAACAGATGACAGGGTCAGACCGTGACCTGTTGAAGTGCTTGTGGCCGTGGTTAGCTGCCAGACCATAAACACTTCTACCTGTGGCTTTTGTGGGGAAACGAGAGAAGTCAGGCGGGAGGGTAGAAGAGAGCGCTCCCCGCCCCCCCCCCCCCACAAGACCCGGGGCGAGGATCCTATCGCACCGCAAACTTGCCGTGGGACCACGCGCGGGTCTCACCTCTTCTCTGAACTGTAGCCTCCCTGTCTGTCAGAAATAGAGGGGGGTGCCTTAGCAATCTGTCCAGCATTCAGCAGGTATTTGGAAACAGGCTGTGGGCAGGGACTTTGCTAGGAAGGGGGCGGGGATCGGCGCAGGGGCAGGGGGCAGGGAACAGAGGGCGTCGTTGCTTAACGTTGAGTGACACAGCCTCTGGCGGGTGGGGTGGGCCAGACAGACCCATTAGTAGGTAAATCCGCAGATGCCCCAGCTTGCTCAGAGTTCCCTCAAGCTGCCTCCGTGAGATCTCCAGCAGAGCTCTTGAATTGTTCTACTGCCAAAATGTCCTGAAAAGTCCCTCTGGTTGACTGAGTGTTCTGTGATAGGTGACATTCTCACAAATTTCAGGAGTTTGTGAGACTGGGTGGGGGAATATCCAAGTGACCTTCAGGCCCTCTCTCAGCGTGGAGAGGCTGTGAATCTGCCGTCAGAATTCCATGGCTATTTAAGACAACTTTTCGGTCTCTTGCTGCTCTGCGAGAAACTCGCTGTGGTCTCTCTCTGTGGTCTGTCCTCTCCCCAATCACTGGGCCTACACTGGGGAAATCGCTCCAAGAGGCTTAGATGGGACCACTCAGATCTGCTTCTTAGGCCGCTTCTTCCAAGATCATGTTCAAGGTCCCATATGCTTCCTGCCACAAAGGAGGGGAACCACCTGGGCCAGAGCTGCGTGGAGGTAGCCCAGCTGGCGTGGGAGTCGTCCATGCTGGGCTGTGAGCGTTTCATTGCAGATGCGGTTCAGACCATTGGGGCTGACCCCACCTGGGAGGCTGAGACAGGCCCAGGGTGAATGTGGTGGCCGATGTGTCTCAGGAGCTAGAAGAGAAGGGGAGGCGGGAATCCAGAGCCGTTGGCATTCAGGAAGGAGGCTCTGGGACTTCTGTAGGGCCGGTGGGTTCAGCAGGCATAGTATGTATGGACATCCAGCCCAAATAGACAAACGCTAAGGCAGCCGGACAAAAGGCAGGGGGAGAGCACTGCGAGAGGGGGGACAGGGGCAGGCCTCTGCAGCAGGGGGTCGGTCTGTGCGGGTCTCAGGGAGAGCAGAGGAGAGCCCAGGCTCAAACGATGAGTGACCTCCTCACACACCTGCACAGCCAACTCAGCTTGGGCAACCCGCCCTCGGTGTGACTGAGGTGCCATGTCCTGTTCTGCAGCCAGGAGACGACCCAATGTCAGCTCGAGTGTTTCCCACTCCTCTCACTGGTCCGTGCTGCCTGCAGTCACCCCCTCCTGCCAGCCCCAGGGGGAGGACCTTTCTGTGATGGCTACTTTTGTGTCCACTTGGCTGGGCTATTTAGATGTTCTTTTCTGTTTATTTTCAGAAAGAAGGGAAGGGAGAAGGAGAGGGAGAAAAGCATCAATGAGTGCCAGAGATACATTGATAGTTGCCTCTCACACACACACAACCCCAACTGGGGATCTGGCCTGCAGCCCAGGCATGTGCCCTGACCGGGAATCGAACCACCAATGTTTTGGGTTGGCAGGCC